GGACTACAATCCTCTTATTTTTTGGCTTCCCATCATATATCAGATTACATGTGTGTACCACCATGCCCAGCTTCTGTTGAGATGGTCTCTTGTATGTTTTGTCCAAGCCTGGATTTGCAGTACTCCTGTTCTCAGCTCCCACATAGTTAGGATTGATCCCAGCTATTGTTGAGAAAGGGTCTTGAGTGTATGTCTGAGCTGGCCTCATACCTTGATCCTCTTAATCTCAACTTTCCAAGTAGTTAGAATTATAGGGGTGAGTCACCAGCTCCTGCTCAGAGCAACTTTTTGATTATGTGTTCTTATTTTATGATTTGTGATCTCATGTGTAAAGTATCAAATTTTCACATACAATTTGGATCTGTTTCTAAGTTCTTTTTTGGCTCATTGGCTTATTTATCTCTGTCCTTATAGTAATTGTCATTTCTAAGATTTGATGTTTTATAGGGTAAATATTCTACTTTATCGGAATTATCTTGCCTATTCTAACTCCTCTGTGTTCTTCCATATTCATTTTTATTCTTTTTTTGTTGGTTTTAGGGCTTGAACTCAGGGCCTGGGTGCTGTCCCTGAGCTTTGTCGCTCAAGGCTAGCTCTCTACCATTTTGAACCACAGGGCCACTTCTGGTTCTCTGGTGGTTAATTGGATGTAAGAGCCTCCTAGAGCTGGGCACTGGTGGCTCTTGCCTGTAATCCTCGCTACTCAGGAGGCTGAGATCTGAAAATTGCAGTTCAAAGCCAGCCTGGGCAGGAAAGTCTGTCTGTAAGACTTATCTCCAATAAACTACTCAGAAAAAGTTAGAAGTGAAACTGTGGCTCAAAGTGGTAGTTGCTAGCCTTGTGGGAAAAAAGCTCAGGGACCACCCAGGCCCTAAGTTCAAGCCCTACAACTGACCAAAAAAAAAGTCACAGACTTTCCTGCCCAAGCTGGCTTCAAACTGTGATCCTCAGATCTCAGCCTCCTGAGTAGCTAGGATTATAGGCAAGAGCCACCAGTGCTTGGATTCATGTTCATTTTAAAATTTAGAATGAGATTGTTAAATTTTATTACATTTTCTGTCTTTTTTTTTTTTTTTTTGTCGTTCATGGGGCTCGAACTCTGGGCCTGAATGCTGTCCCAGAGCTCCTCAGTTCAAGGCGAGCACTCTAACACTTGAGCCACAATGCCACTTCCCGTTTTTTGTGTGGTTTATTGGAGATAAGAGTCTCATGGAGTTTCCTGCCCAAGCTGGCTTTGAACCATGATCCTCAGATCTCAGACTCTTGAGTAGCTAGGATCACAGGTGTGAGCCACTGACGCCCAGCTTGCTTATTTCTTCTATAAGATTCTTTTTATTTTTTCTTTCTTTGTGCTAGGCCTGGAACTTGAACTCAGAGCCTGGACTCTGTCCCTGAGCCTTTCTGCAAGGCTAGCGCTCTACCACTTGAGCCACAATGCTACTTCTGTTCTTTGAGTGCTTAATTGGAGATTAGAGTCTCACTGGTGGGTAGGGTTGGGGGTAGGTGTCTCATGGGGCTGGGAATGTGGCTTAGTGCTAGAATGCTTGCTAGCTTGCATGAAGCCCTGCTGTGGCTCAAGTGGTAGAATAGTAGCCTTGAGCAAAAGAAGCTCAGGGACAGTGCCCAAGCCTGAGTTCAATCCCCCAAGACTGGCCAAAAAAATATTATTTTTTGCTGAAGTCAGGCACTGGTCGGTCATATTAGTAATCCTAGCTACTCAGGAGGCTGAGATCTGAGGATCATAGTTTGAAGCCAGTCTGGACAGGTAGTCTGAGACGCTTATCTCCAATTAGCCTTGAGCAAAAGAAGTGCAGAGACAGTGCCCAGGATTGGCAAAAAGAAAAAGAAAAAAAAAAAAAGTTTCACAAGGACTTTTCTGCCCCGGCTGGCTTGGAACAACAATCCTCAGATCTCAGCCTCCTGAACAGCTAGGATTACAGGCAGGAGCCACCAGCACCTGGCTTCTTAATTTTTTTTTTTTTTAAGCTATACTGAAATACATGTAGTTAATGTTCCATCATATTAACCCATGTATAATGTGCACTTCAGTAGTTCTTGATGTAGGGGCTGGGAAGATGGCCCAGTGATAGAGTGCTTGCCTTGCATGCCTGAGGTCCTGGGTTCGATTCCTCAGCACCACATAAGCAGAAAAAGCCGGAAGTGACACTGTGGCTCAAGTGGTAGAATGCTAGCCTTGAGCTGAAGAGCTGAGGGACAGCGCCCAGGCCCAGAGTTCAGGCCTCACAATCAGACACCCCTCCCCCCCCAAAAAAAAGAAGAAATCTAATAATAGTTCTTGATGTATTTCCAGATGTAACCATTACCACAGGTTTAGAACTTTCTGAAACCTTGAACTTATTAGCAGTCTCCCCATTCTCTCCATCACCACATTATACCCCACCTCACTCTGGAAATCGGAGTAATGAACTTTCTTTACCCATTCTATATAGATTGTATAAATGGAATTATATAATGTTTTTGTGTTTTGTTTTTGCCAGTCATGGAGCTTGAACTCAGGACCTGGGCACTGTCCCTGAGCGGCTTTTTGTTGAAGGCTAGCCCTCTACCACTTGAGCCACAGTGCCACTTCCAGCTCTTTCTGTTTATGTGGTACTAAGGAATAGAACCCAGCGCTTCATGCATGCTAGGCAAGCACTCTACTACTAAGGCACTAAGGCACATTCCCAGCTCTTAATGTATATTTTTATGATTGGCTTCTTTTCCCTAACATAAAGTTTTTTAGGTTCATCTATGTTGCAATATGTATCATTGCTTTTGGCTTTTTTTGGGGGGGGAGGGTCAGTCATGGGGCTTGAATTCTGGGCCTTGATGCTGTCCCTGAGCTCTTCAGCTCAAGGCTACTGCTTTACCACTTGAGTCACAGCACCACTTCCAGGTTTTTCTGCTTATGTGGTGCTGAGGAATCGAACCGAGGGCCTCATGCATGCAAGGCAAGCTCACTCTACCTCCGAACCGCCTTCCCAGCCCCGATTTTTTCATGTTTTGAGTAAGAGTTTTCAGGTGCTGTCCCTTAGCTTTTTTACTAAAGGCTTGCACTCTAATACTTAAACCGCAGCTTCACTTGTGGCTTTTTGCTGATTGGAGATAAGAGTTTCTCAAATTTGTCGGTCTGGGCTGGCTTCTAACTATCATCCTCAGATCTCAGCCTCCTAAGTAATTAATATTACAGGCAGTAGCCACCAACACTTAACTCCTTAATTATATACATTTGTGGAATACAGTGACTTTATTTATATATGTATGTATGTAATTAATGTGGATATCTCTATTATCATTTTTGTAGTAAGAGACTTGAAACTTGCTTATTTTGAAATGTACAGTGCATTGTCTTTGACTATAGTTACCTCTTTTGTGTGATAATCTCAAAACTACCTCCTTTCAGACTTTCTACCCTTTGGCCAGCAACTCCTCCTGTCCTTCTTAACCTCTCCTATCTGAAACTTTATAATCTTTGACCAACAACTTCTCTATCCCCTCACTTCCCCCTACTCCCCTCTGGTAACCATCATTCTACTCTATTTCTACGAGTTTGTCTTTTAAAGATTCTACATGTGAGATCATGAGGTATTTTTCTTTTCTCTGTGAGGTTTATTTTACTTAATATAATGTCCCTCACTTTCTTCATCTGTTGATAGATACTTAGCTTTGATGAATAATACCGTGAACACAGAAGTGATTTCTCTTCCCCATAGTTTCACTTACCTTTGCATAGATTTCACTTCTTTGCATAGGATACCCAAAAGTGAGACGGTAGGATTGCTGGGTCATATCCTACTAGTGGTGGTTGTGGGTTTTTTTTTTTTTTTTTGGTCATGGGGCCTGAACTTTGGTCCTGAGCCCTGTCCCTTAGCTCTTCAGCTCAAGGCTAGTGCTCTACCACTTGAGAGCCATGGTGCCATTTCCGGCTTTTTCTGCTTTTGTGGTGCTGAGGAATCAAACCCAGGCCTCATGCATGCAAGGCAAGCACTCTATCACTGAACTACCTTCCAAGCCCCTGGTTGTGGTTTTCTGCTTTTTTTTTTCGGTGGCATTTGGATCAAACCCAGGGCTTGTATAGGCAAGGCAAAGTACACTATCACTGATCTGCATTCTCAGTGCTTTTTTTTTTTTTTGGTTGGTCCTGGGGCCTGAACTCTGGGCCTGGGTACTGTCCCTCAGCTCTTCAGCTCAAGGCGAGCATTCTACCGATTGAGCCACAGCACCACTTCCAGTTTTCTAGTGTTTTTTTTTTTTTTCCCCCCGAGATGAGACTCTTACGGACTTTTCCCTGACGGGGCTGGCTTTGAACTGTGATCCTCAGATCTCAGCCGCCTGAGTAGCTAGGATTACAGGTGTGAGGCACTGGCGCCCAGCCAGGAACTTTTTATTTTTGCATGTGTATCCCAGAATATCTATCACATTGCTTCGAAAATTACATATGGTGTGTAAATGAATAAAACTAGCCTATCACAGGGAGTGAAGACACAAGGGGGAAAAAAAACAAAACAAAACAAGGATGCTTTCTGTCTTCTCTACTTGAGAAGAAAAAGAGAAGGAAACCAGAGTTCTATACCTATTCCCCTAATTTTAGATGTTGGGAAGGGAGCTCGCTGCTTTGCCTGATCTGCTTCCATTCCAGGAATGTGTTGTAGCTGCAAGGAAGGAAGGTTTTGGCTTCGCTTGTGTGACTGGTTGCAAAAAAATTTACATAAATCGGGGGAGGCTGGGAAGGGATGTGAAGGGTAAACAAAGGAGGAGGCTGCAATGCTTGGTAAGAAATGTACGCATTATCCTGCCCATGTAACTGTAACTCCTCTGTACAGTATGTTCACAAATAAAATTAAATTAAATTAAAAAAAAATTTACATAAATCATTAGATGATTTTGATTAGTTTCAGTATACCTTGACACAAAATTAGGTTTTCACTTTGAAGGATGTTGCTTGTTATAGGAAATGGATGCATTTATTTGAAGTTTTTAAATGGGTTTTTATTTTTTAGTTAAATCCAGATGTGAATGTTTTCCAACGGAAATTTGTGAATGAAGTTAGAAGATGTGAAGAAATGGATCGAAAACTTCGTATGTGCATTTTGGTCTTGTATGATGTCACTATAATTTATGTAGATTACAGACATTAATACTTTTTTTATTTTTTTGGTCGGTCGTGGGGCTTGAACTCTGGGCCTGGGTGCTGTCCCTGAGCTCTTCATCTTAAGGCAAGTGCTGTACCCCTTGAACCACAGTGCCAGGTCCAGTTTTCTGGTGGTTAATTAGGGATAAGAGTCTCACGGACTTTCCTGTTTGGGTCTGGCTTGGAACCACAATTCTCAGGTCTCAGCCTCCTCTGTAGCTAGGATTACAGCCATGAGCCACCAGCACCCAGCTAGACATTAGTACTTTTAGTAAAGGAAGGAAATATTACAGGAGAGAAAAAGAGACATTAAGATGATCAATATATACAAATAGATTTTGTGGGGTTTAGGCTAGAAACCTTGTTCAAACAACAGGGCAGGTGGAAAGTACTGCCGTTATTTTTTTCTTTTTTCCTTTTTTTTTTGGGTGGGGGGTGTCCGGTTGTGGGGCCTGAACTCTGGGCCTTGGTGCTGTCCCTCAGCTCTTCAGCTCAAGGCTAGCACTCTACCACTTGAGCCTCAGCGCCACTTCTGGTGTTTTTTTTTTCTGCTTATGTGGTGCTGAGGAATCGAACCCAGGGCCTCATGCATGCAAGGCAAGCACTCTACCACTGAGTCACCTTCCCAGCCCTGCAGTTATTTTTTTCATGAGATTTAATAGCATTATAGAATGCTGAGAGAAGAAAGCAGAGGACTGTCAATTTCAGATGTCAGCAGAGCCACCTTTTAATGTAGGCTAAAGAATGAGTAAATGCCTTATTTCATTCATTCTCTTTAAGTTTCCTTCAAGATGAGTGCTAACCATTTAATGACCAAAGTGCCTAAAGATCAGAGAGTTTTAGTGACTTGTCCAGGAACATAAGTAGTCATGATAAAATTAGTATTTCATGTTGCCCAAGTAATTGTAACCCCTCTGTACAGTATTTTCACAATTAAAAAAAAGTTAAAAAAAAATTAGTATTTCAAACCATGTTTTTCTGTTTGTATCCAAACCTACTATCTTACCACTGTACCAAGCCTCTTAAAGTTGGATGATAGGTGGCTCTGAAACACTTTTCTCTTTTGGTATTTTGATCCTTTTGCAATATTTTTAAAATGTGTTTGCTTATTTAAACTTTTACACTTAAAACTTACCTGAGAGCTTGGTAGAGTGCTTGCCTAGCATGTAGTAAGGTCCTGAATTCACCCTAGCACCACAAAACCAAACTAAAAACAAACCCCCCAAACCGAACAAAAAACCTGATTGTTTTCAAATGTAATACATCCTTTTGGCTAAGAGTTGTTTTACTACTGTGTGGTGTCATGTTCATTTATATTATATATATTTTTTAACTGTGTTTGGCCATAATAATATTTACAAACTGAACCGTCATACTTGGGGAACATATTTTGGGGAGCATTTATATTGAGCATTTATATTTATATTGAAAGGAGTAAAGAGAGAAGGAAGGAAGATGTGGGTTCTGGGTTTACTATCCTCTTTAGAATAGCTTTAGAGAGTGTGGGGTATAAGAAAGGATATGGTAGAGCTGGGAAGGTGGCTCAGTGGTAAAGTGCTTGCCTTGTATGCATGAGGCCCTGGGTTCGATTCCTTAGCACCACACAAGCAGAAAAAGCCGGAAGTGGCACTGTGGCTCAAGTGGTAAAGCACTAGCCTTGAGCTGAAGAGCTGAGGGACAGTGCCCGCCCAAGCCCAGAGTTCAGGCCCCATGACCAACATTTAAAAAAAAAAAAAAAGGATATGGTGGAAATATGAAATGTCTTTCTTAGGCTGAAATACTTTGTAGCCAGGTTTTAAATCTTATTTTTCCTCTAATAGTTGCAGTTCTAGGCTTGTATAGTTAGATGTGACTGTTTTGACTCTTATCATTTTAGGATTTGTTGAAAAAGAGATAAGGAAAGCTAACATTCCCATTATGGACACTGGTGAAAACCCAGAGGTACCCTTCCCTCGGGACATGATTGATTTAGAGGTAAATAATTCTGAGAAAACAAAATATGTTTTTTTTTCTGATTAAGTATGGAAATTACTTTCTGAGTAGGTAGTGAGTAGAGTAATTCTTGCCAACCTTATGAACATAGTGGATTGACTATAAGTAAATTCCCTTTTTTATGTTTCAGACAGTATCTCAATATCTCACTATCTCATATCTCATATGCTACTAAATAAATGTTTACTGATTTATTGAACCCTTATTGGATTAATGTCAAATTATCTAGTTGTCTATTAATCATAGAGTAAATGAATAGTCCCTGGGCTTTTTGATAATATTTGTCCTCTTGAAATGGGCACCAGAGGGGCTGGGAATGTGGCTTAGTGATAGAATGCTGGCCTAGCATGCATGAAGCCCTGGGTTCGATTTCTTAGTACACATAAAAAGAAAAAGCCAGCAATGGGGCTGTGGCGCAAGTGGTAGAGTGTTAGCCTTGAGCAAAAGAAGCTCAGGGAAGTGCCCAGGCCCTGAGTTCTTCAAGCCTTGGGACTGGCAAACAAAAAACAAAAACGAAAAAAAGAAGAATGGCAGCTGGGCACATGGTTCATGCCTGTAATCCTAGCTACTCAAGAGGCTGAGATCTGATGATCGTGGTTCAAAGCCAGCCTGGGCAGGAAAAGTTTATGAGACTCCTATCTCCAATAAACCACCAGAAAACTGGAAGTGCCGCTGTGGCTCAAGTGGTAGAGCACTCGCCTTGAGCTGAAGAGCTAAGGGACAGTGCTCAGGCCCAGAATTCAAGCCCATGACCAAAAGAAAAAAAAAAGAATGAGTACCAGAGGCTTATGCTTGTAATCCTAGTTACTCAAGAGGCTGAGATCTCAGTATCAGGGGTTGAAGCAAGCTGGGGCAGCAAAGTCCATGAGACTCTTATCTCTAATTAAGTACCAAAAAGCTGGAAGTGTAGTTGGCTCAAGTGGTAGAGCACCAGCATTGATGCAGTGCGGGGAGGGAAGCTCAAGAATAGCACCCAGTCCCTGAGTTCAGCAACCTCTAGAGTTAAACAAAAAACAAAGAAATTTACAGAGTGTACAATAAAATCTATAGACAATGATTATGTTAAGCAGAAAAATTACATAAAGAAACTTGGTCCAGCAAAATCAGAAGTATTTTCTGGGTAGGTATATCTTTGACAGGCTAAATTCATTGAATTCAGAATAAGCATATTGAGCTTAGCTTGATTTAACTTTTTTTCCCCCTCTAGGCCAATTTTGAGAAGATTGAAAATGAACTGAAGGAAATCAATACAAACCAGGAAGCTCTGAAGAGAAACTTCCTGGAACTGACTGAATTAAAATTTATACTTCGCAAAACTCAGCAGTTTTTTGATGAGGTCAGACTATTGTTTCTTATAGTTCTTGAGCAGCTGATAATATACCTGCACACATGGGCCATGATTTGATTCCAATAATTATTTTAATTTGCTAGTTTGGAAGCAATACCATTTTTGCACCTTTTATTTGAAGAAATGTCAGATTGTGTTCCATTCTCATGCAGTACATAGCCAGCCATGGTTCTGTATATTTTCACATCTGCAAATTTTCATCTTAAGATAGGGAAAGAAAGGAACCCTAAAGTCATTGCATAAATGTAGTTAAAATTTTTATATTAGATACAGCTTAATATTATAAGGTAAGTATATTCTTAAGGTTAAAGTGTAAGAAAGTAACATCTGGCTATATGCAAAATAATAACAAATATTTAACCAACAAACCCTTTATTATATTTGCATTTTATCTTTGTGTTCACTTTTAAAGTTTTGGGCACATTTTCAATACTTTTAGAAAACACTGTTACTGATTTTTTTCCAAAAGTTTCTCAATATGTTGTATGGAAATACTGGCAAGCATATTTGGATTTTCCCTAAATATAACTTCATCATTTTACAGGGAAAAATGTTAACAAGTTCCTGGGTTAAATAGGTAAATAAGTTGATAAATGGCAGTTTACTTAAGTGGTCCCCTTAAAAGGACTTAAGAGGCTTACAAAAGGCTGCTTTCTTCCAGTTAAACCTGGAAAGAAATATTATCTTTCAATCTGAAAGCAATTTTTCTCATGGACTAAAATACTGGTAACTCTTTTTGACTGATGTCTTAGTCATGATTAGTAGCATTAGACACTTCAGAGATTGTTCTAATTACTACTATAGTGTATAGTTTATTTTCTTCGCATAACAAAAATACATTGCAGAGCTTTTAAATATAGAGGGCCTATTCTAGTGAGCATTGATTACTACCCTTTAGCTTTATTTTTAATTTCTGTCTCTTGAAAAGAGACCACGTCTCGAAGTTGGTACAGTTCTCTAATCAGCAGCAACACTTCACCTGGGACCTTGTCAGAAATAGAAACTATCAGTCCTACCCTAGGCCTGCTGAGTCATAAACTTTGGGGTCAGGCCCAGTCATCATTTTAACAGGTGAGCATGATAGTTTGAAAACCACTAATCTAGAGGAAATGTGCTGAGACTGTGATACATTCCTCAGCCACTACAGATTTGACTCAAGAGAAGCCACACCAATTAAAAAGATTTGTGGAGGTGAGGGCAGAAGAAAAGCTCATGTGAACTTAATTGCTAGGTCCTCCCAAGAATCAGACTAGTTATGTATCAGTAGAGGTTTGGTGGAAAATTCAGCTTGCTCACTGAGTTGAGAATTTGAGACTGGTGATAATGTTCTAAAGTCATCACATAAGAGGGTGTGGACAATGTGATTAACTCTTTCCAAGTGTTTTAGGTCTTTTGCAACAGACATATTTGTTCATTAGAACAAACTACAGGCATTCACCACCATATCTAGCCACCCCTCCTTTTTGTGTGTGTGTCAGTCCTGGGGCACTGCCCCTGAGCTCTTCTGCCCAAGACTAGACCTCTACCACTTGAGCTACAGCTCCACTTCCAATTTTTTTTTGTACTTAATTGGAGATGAGTGTCATGGACTTTCCAGTCTGGGCTGGCTTTGAACTACAATCCTCAGATCTTAGCCTCCTGAGTAACTAGGATTATAGGTGTGAGCCACCAATGCCTGGTTAGCTTTTCCCCTTTGATGTTCCCTTTAGTTTACTGCTGAAATGTTGCTGTGATATCTTTCATCTCCTGTAATCCCAGAATTGGGAGGACTGAATTAGGAAGATCTTGAGTTCAAGGCCAGCTAGGACTAAATTAGCAAGACTTCGTTTTAAAAAAGAAAGGAAAGAAGGAATGAAGGAAGGAAGGATTTCAAGATCTCTTTGTTTAAGGAGTAAGTTCCCTATTTTCTGAAAGTCTGAATAAAGAGTAACAAATGGGCTCCCTTAAGGGAAATAATTATTTAAGTAATTAATTTTCTAACCCAGACATGGTAACACACGTATGTAATCCCAGCTTCTTGGGAGGTGGAAATCAGGAGGTATGTGGTGAGAGACCAACTTGAGTAAAAAGATAGCTAGATCCCCATCTAAATAAATGCTAGGTTCTGTGGTTCACATCTATAATCCTAGCTACAGGAGAGTATTGGTAGGAGGCCATAGTTGAAGGCCACCCCAGGCAAAAGTACAAGTCTTGAGCTGAATGCTGGTAGTTTGTGCCTATAATTCTAGTTAGTTAGGTAATTTAGATAAGAGAATTTAGGTTTGAAGCTAGCATAGGCAGAAAAATTTGGGAGACTCTTGTTTTCTATTAACTAGGAAAAAGGTCTGGCTTGAGGCATTGTTCAAATGGTAGAGCACTAGCCATGAGCAAAAAAGCTGAGAGTTGAAAACACTGAGTTTAAGCTCCAATACAGTGAGCTAGCTAGCCAGCTAGCTAGCTAGTTTTAGATAGACAGGGGGAAGTGGCGCTGTAGCTCAAGTGGTAGAGCGCTCGCCTTGAGCTGAAGAGCTGAGGGACAGTGCCCAGGCCCAGAGTTCAAGCCCCACAACTGACAAAAAAAAAAAAAAGAATAGATAGGGTAATCAAGCAAAAAGGGTAAAAATGAAAGGAACCTTTTAGAAAGATGATTCATAATTTTAAAATTATAAATTAAGGATTTTTTTGTGATTACTGTCTAAACATTAAATAGCAAATGTAAACTCCAGATCTTTATGATCTTGCCCTATCCCCTCCCTCCCTGTCTGTGGAAGTACTTTGCCCATGAGGCTTTGGCTGTGAGTGCTGCTCCCAAACCATTTCCATCAGTGTCCTTTAAATCCCTAGCAGCCTCACAGCAGTCCTGACATGTGACAAGAACCACCGAACCACTGCTTCTACTGTCAAGTACACAGTCAGTGCCTTGCCCTTTCTTGCCATAATCGCAAAGCTTTGGCCAGGTGCTTTCCAGAGGTCTTGCCCTGCTGTTGCAGTGATGCTCAGAGTGGTTGTGTCTACATGCAAGTGTATGTTTAAATATCACACAAAGAGCCAGGTGGTACACATCTTTAATCTTAGCCCTCTGGAGAGAGGATGATCTTGAGTTTGAGACCAGCCTTGGGCTGTAGAGCTAGTTCATGATTAGCCTAAATTACATGGTTTGAACCTTGTCTCATCTAACAATGATGATAATGATGATGCAAAAAAAAGTGAGCAAACCTGGGACCCTCAAATGTCAGAAACTTAAGAGTTTCTCATCAGATATTTTAGTGTTTGCAAATGACCTGAAACACTATCAATAGTAAGCCTCTCGTCTTTTTTTAAAAAATAATTTGATGAATGTAATCAATAATTTACAGAAATTACTTAGCATAAAATGGCTAAATCAGAAAATATTCTTTCCATATTTAGGCATAAGAATTACAATTGGCAAGGTGTGTAGAAAGGAAAAAAGTAAACATGCTGAATATTCTTATGATTAAAGGTGATTAAAAATTCAACTTAGCCATTTCTTATCCAGAGCATTTAAAATGACTTGTTAATGATTATCCTTTTCTCAGTCTTCTTGCTTATGAAGAACTGTAAGAGCTGGAGAGGTTTCTCTGCATCTTTTACCATAAGCACCATAACATATGAGAACGTAAAGAAGACTGGAAAAGTAATGGTTAATGGCATGCAGACCCCTGCCTTCCTTTCCTTCTCAGTTTTTCATCCATCTGCTTTCTTTATTTTTCTTTCTCATCTGCCATCTCCTTTGGGGCTTGGGCAAATACCTCAAGTGGTGAAACATAACTTCTTACTGCAGATGGGAGGTAAAGTGTTTGCTCTTAGCAACTGGTGTAGCTTGGCTGGATGTGCTGTATATACTTAGGCACTACAGAAACAGAACTGAAGTTCTGCTCTCTTACTTCCTGTTAGTCATGGCTTTCAGAATTCTGAATGGGGGAAGGGGTAACCCAGAGAGTATAGCAAGTAACTTAGAGAAACATTGACAATATTTTTATTGTTACTAGAGAACCCAGAGTTTCTATTATTTGTTACAAGTTCAACAATGTGATTTTAGTAATTGCTTCAAAGGTCTTCAGTTGTTCTGGTCATCCTGGTTTCCCACCAAGCACAATTTTGTGTATAAATTTTGACCTTTCCTTGCTAAGACTTAGCATTCTATATACGAAGTAGTGAAAGTAGTAACTAGAATATTGAACTTTCTGCTTACTTCTATTTTTCTGATTATCTGAGAGTGCCAGATAAAGAAGCTTTTGATAGTTCAGAAAGTCTTTAGAGTATTCTAGTTGCTATGTGCTATCTATTGTTTGTCAGAACAAATATGTGTGCATTTGATGATAAGATTTACTTGAAGGAGATTATGTGAACCATATAGTCCAGTAGGAGAGAGTTTTGTCTAGGGCTATCCCAAGAATAAGTTTAAATGTCATCTCATTACTCAAAACGAGTTACTTCCAGTCAGCTAGTTTGAAGTTGAAACAGAAAAAACCCTTTATATTCCCATGTAATTGGTGTTCCCATTATCTCATCTTAAACAATTGCAATCTCATTGCAGTGTTTCTTTACCCTTCTAATATGCCTGTCTTTTGCTTTGCTTTATACTTCACAAAATAATTGCTTTTAGTTTTTTGGCTTTAGACTTACCTGGTTTAAATCAAATTTTCCCTTTCTTTGCTATGCCATTTGTCCTATAACTTTTATCAAAGAAGGTAAGCATGTGGCATGTTTTCATAGCATACTTTGACAGGAGTAGGATCAAACTGAAATTTTTGGATGTAGAAAAATTCTAACATTTTATATTGCTTTTGAATAGGAAGGGTGTTCAGGATTCTTTGTCTTTGGTCAAATAAGTTGTGTGTGAATATTAAAGTTGGGGAAGTCAGGCAATGGAAAAGTTGAAGTTAATTGGACTTTATTTTTCAGAGTAGATTTTCCATTCTGAAGGCAGGACCATTTGGATAGAGAGGCAAGGAGATAATAGACCTCTATGTGGGAAGATCCTTCTCTTTCATTTCATTGTATAAACTGTCATGGTGGAAATCATTTTAAATTTGACCAATTAAGCTATTCCAGTGCCTCTAGATTGTTTGTTTATTGTTTTTTTTCTTCACTTTACTTGATTCTTGAGCTGTGTTCTTAAGAATTCTTCTCTTGTAAAGCCTCTTAACCTTTTTTGGTATTCCTAGAATCCTAATCAGAAAATAAAGCATTAGAAAAACATATTTTCACTTTCTCTCCCCTTTATGGTTGCATCAGAGACGCAGGCTTACCCAACTATTGTGCTTCTTCTCCTTTTGAAGACATACTTTTTTTTTTTTTTTTTGTAGTTAATTTGAGATAAGAGTCTCATGGACTTTTCTGCCTGGGCTTTGTATCCTCAGATCTTAGCCTCCTGAATAGCTAAGATTATAGGTGTGAGCCATTGACGCCCAGTGAAGAAATATTTTTCTAATACCATACTTTGGGGATATTTTGTGCATTTTATATGTGTTCTGAATTTTTTTTTTCTTTGTGGGATTTGGGACTTGAACTCAGGGCCGTGGTGCTGTCCTAGAGCTCTTTGCTCAAGGCTAGGGCCCTACCACTTTGAGCCACAGCTCTACTTCTGGTTTTCTGGGGATTAATTGGAGAGAAGAGTCTCAGGAACTTTCCTGCATGGGTTGGCTTTGAACCTCGATCCTTAGATTTCATCCTTCTGATTAGCTATGATTACAGGCATGAGCCACTAGTGCCCAGATTTTTTGTGTGTGTGTGTGTGCTGGTCCTGGACTTGATCTCAGGTTCTGGGTGCTGTCCATGAGCTTCTTTTGCTTAAGACAAGCTCTTTGCCACTTGAACTACAGCTCCACTTCCACCTTTTTGGTAATTTATTGGCAATAAGAGTCTCATAGACTTTTCTGCTCAGGCTGGCTTCAAATTACAATCCTCAGAACTCAGGTTCCTGAGAAGCTAGGATTAGAAGCATGATGTGTCCAGCCTAAATTTCTTTTTTTTTTGGGGGGTCCGGTCATGGGGCCTGAACTCTGGGCCTGGGCACTGTCCCTCAGCTCTTCAGCTCAAGGCTAGCGCTCTACCACTTGAGCCACAGCGCCACTTCCGGCTTTTTTCTTTTTGCTTATGTGGTGCTGAGGAATCGAACCCAGGGCCTCTGGCATGCAAGGCATGCGCTCTACCACTGAGCCACCTTCCCAGCCCCCAGCCTAAATTTCTTAAAGGCCTGGAGAACCTAGAAATTTAGAGATGCTCCTTCTTTCCTTCTCCAGATCACAGTGTGTTCAAGATAACACAGTGATTTGTTCCTTACCTGGAGAATCTGTGGCGTCCACATTCTCACACAAAGGAAGTTCTAGTTGGTAGCTACCGAGAAATTCGAGTATTAGCAGAGCTGATGCCTACTCACATGCTAAGGTATTTCCTGGTTCATTCAGGGAAACATTGAGGAGAAAAATGGCTTCCACCAAGTTACAGATTTATACATGTCACCATCACTTAATGTTTTTCTTCTATTCCTTATTTCTAAAATCATTTCTCCAGATTCTTTGCTGGAGAAATTATGCTTTCTTTACCTTTGTTTCCTTTGTTTTATTTCCCTGTTCTTTCTGTGGGTATGTTCTTTCAGTGGTTTGTTTGGTGTTTTATTCTTGTTTTGTTTTTTTTGTGTGTTTTTTTCACTTTTTTTCCTGAACCTGTCTCCTGGTTCCTCGTTCCCTGCATGCCACTAACTATTTTCATTAGATATTAATTGATTTGTGAATTCAGGCTGAATTGCATCATCAGCAGATGGCGGATCCAGACCTGTTGGAAGAGTCCTCATCCCTCTTGGAGCCAAGTGAGATGGGAAGAGGCACGCCCTTAAGACTTGGGTAAGTACCACTTCAGCCCATTCATACCCAATAGGATCATATTCTCCTTTGCTGTTCAGAGGAGCAGTGAGGCTGGGCATTGACTTGCTGCCTGGATGTACTTTCTTGTGAGCCTGATGAGAGCTATTTCTCAGTCTCTAGATTCACTTCCTGAGTTGTCTGTCAACTCTCAGCTGGGCCAGCTGAGGTCAGGATAAGACTAACAGGCCTTTGACCTAATAGTCATGTGTAGTGTATAATTTTTGTCCTTCTCTCACTTTTTTTTTGCATGTTAGGTGAGGTAAGCCTGCTCAGAGACACAGATAGCATGTGTTTTCTCTATGTGGAAGCTAGAGCTCAGATATCCTGGGATATGATAAATTATACAGGACTATAGGCACTCACACACTGTAAGACCAAAAGAGGATATTCATAGGGGAGGAACACAAAGGCACAATGCCTATGTGCCTCTGATCATATAAAGTAATATTTATTAAAAAGAACTTCAGGAAATGGAAACGAGATTTTTTTTTCTCTGCTGTTTTGTTTTCTTTTTGTCTTATTTATTCTTTTTTTTTTTTGGGTCCGGGCGTGGGGCCTGAACTCTGGGCCTGGGTGCTGTCCCTCAGCTCTTCAGTTCAAGGCTAGTGCTCTACCACTTGAGCCACAGCGCCACTTCCGGCTTTTTGCTTTTTGCTTATGTAGTGCTGAGGAATCGAACCCAGGGCCTCATGCATGCAAGGCAAGCGCTGTACCACTAGCCACCTTCCCAGCCCCTTATTTATTCATTTATCTGTCTTTAGGAGGATAAGGGGGACACAGAAATGGAGGGACAAAGGGTGAACAAATGCAGCAGTGGTACTCAATGGACACTACATTGAAAGTGAACTATATAACTTGTGGGTGAGAAGGGGAGAGAGCAAGGAAAGGGTGACATTGTTCAAAAAGAAATGTACTCTACTTGACTTACATAACTGTTACCCCTCTCTATATCACCTTTATAATAACAATAAAACATCACAATAAAAAAATCTAGAAGTTGAAAAAATAACAATAAAACAATTAAACAAAAACTTCCCATCCCAGAGTTAGGGATTTAGCTCAGTAGATGAGCACTTGCCCAGCAAGTGCAAGGTGCTGAGTTCAGTCCTCAGCTCTGCAACACACACATACACACACTCACACTCACACGCTCACATACACAATCTTCCTTACCCATGTTGTCAACTAGAGTTCCTGATCTGGCTCTTTTCCCACAGCTTCGTGGCTGGCGTGATTAACCGGGAGCGCATCCCTACTTTTGAACGCATGCTTTGGCGCGTGTGCCGAGGGAATGTGTTCCTGCGACAGGCTGAAATCGAGAACCCCCTGGAGGATCCTGTGACTGTAAGACAAGGAAATTGTGTCCTGTGGACTAGGTCTTATAAAGGGAGTCCAGAGCAGTAGCACAGCATGGCATCACCTGAATCCTCCTCTTCACAGAGGAGCCTTCTGTTTAACCCTGCTTTGATCTGAGAACTTGAGGACTGCTGTTCTTCTTTAACTTAACTACTTTCATGTATTCCGATGTGTACATGTCATATGCATATTTTCAAGCCTTATCTATCTATGGAGGTATTATCTTTATTGGAAATTTTATTTCCAATTACTTTAAACTTTTAACTTTATATATTTCCTGTTACTAATCTGGAGGTCAGAGAAAAATTGCCTTTTATGAAAACTAATTACAGCAAACACCTGGTTCCAAATGTATTAATGTTCATGTGAGAAAAGAGGAGAGATTTCCTAATGGAGAGATTTAATGTTCATAAGCTGATAAAAACTTTATTATCTACTTGTTTACTGGGAAAATCAGAAACTTAGTTTAAGAATAAGTATTGCCAGGTGCTGGTAGTTTATACCTGTAATAATACTCAGGAAGCTGAGATCTAAGAGTTAAGGTTCAAAGCCAGCCTGGCAGCCAAATCTGAGAGAATTTTATCTCCAGTTAACCAGCAAATAGCCAGGAATGGAGGTGTAGATCAAGTGGTAAGGGCCAGCCTTGAGAAAAAAAGCTACAGGACAGTATCCAGGACCTGAGTGCAAGTCCTCAGTACTGGCACAAAAATTAAATAAATAAATAAATATTGTGCAGGATAAGATTATTTTCCCTACTAAGCATTTTGGAAAGTAGGAACAGCCTAGCAGCTTAGTATCTGACAATTCATAACCTACATCTATTGGAACAGGGTAAGTCCTAATTTCAGGGATTATAAGCATAGGTTGAATTTACTGCAAAAATTTCACTTCATTTTTTTTTTTTTTTTTTGCCAGTCCTGGGACTTGGGCCTGGGCACTGTCCCTGAGTTGCTTGGCTCAAGGCTGGCACTCTGCCGCTTGAGCCACAGAACCACTTCCAGCTTTTCTGTTTATGTGGTACTGAGGGATCAAGCCCAGGGCCTCATGCATGCCAGGAAGCACTCTACTCTCAGTCTCACTCACACCTCAGCCCCTGTGTGGGACTTCCTAAGCTTCTAAACAGACATGAGTAGCTTCCTTTCCTTTCTTCTATAATTCTGTCATTTAGGCAACATGAGATTCAAAGCTGATTGGAAAATAAGCCAAAGAAGAACATATTGTAGACTTTCTTCTCTTTGTTGTATCCAAAAACCGAGAAAGATTTTTTTGAAGGTTATCATGTAGATATTCTTTTTTTTTTTTTTTTTTTTTTTGGGTCCGGTCGTGGGGCCTGAACTCTGGGCCTGGGCGCTGTCCCTCAGCTCTTCAGCTCAAGGTAGCATTCTACCACTTGAACCACAGCGCCACTTCCGGCTTTTTTCTTTTTGCTTATGTGGTGCTGAGGAATCGAACCCAGGGCCTCAGGCATGCAAGGCAAGCACTCTACCACTGAGCCAACTTCTCAGCCCCCATGTAGATATCCTTGTAATAAAGCTTAAGAAATGGAGTACAGGGGCTAGGAAGGTGGCTCAGTGGTAGAGCGCTTGCCTTGCATGCCTGAGGCTCTGGGTTTGATTCCTCAGCACCACATAAGTAAAAAGCAAAAAGCCAGAAGTGGCGCTGTGGCTCAAGTGGCAGAGTGCTAGCCTTGAGCTGAAGAGCTGAGGGACAGCGCCCAGGCCCAGAGTTCAGGCTCACGACCAAAAAAAAAGAAAGAAAAAGAAATGGAGTACAGTTGGTCACCATTGACTTAGCTATTCAGGAGGCTAAGATCTGAGGATCATGGTTCAAAGCCAGCCCAAGCAGGAAAGTTTGTGATACTCTTATCTCCAATTAACCAAAAATAAAAAAGCTGGAAATGGAGGTGTGGCTCAACTGATAGAACACTGTCCTTGAGCACAAAAGCTCAGAGACAGCACCCAGGCCCTGTGGTCAAACCCAGGACTGGTGCACGCTCTCTCTCTCTCTCTCTCTCTCTCTCTCTCTCTCTCACACACACACACACACACACACACACACACACACGAAATGGAGTACTGATAGTGGCTAAAGTTAAGGAGGCCATATCCTTAAAGAATTCCTGTTGTTCCTGATCACTCAGAAAGTTAGATGTTGAAGAGATTTTCATCCCCTTCTAGAAGTCTGAACTCTTGTGTTTGTTTCTGGCCCTAGGGTGACTACGTGCACAAGTCTGTGTTTATCATTTTCTTCCAAGGTGATCAGCTGAAAAACAGAGTCAAGAAAATCTGTGAAGGGTAAGAAGCACCTGCTTTTACAAGAGGGCACAGCCTATTGCTTGACTAATGAGGTTTAGGATTCAGAATAGTGAAGTGCATATCCTATTAAGCCAATTTTGACATGGTGAATATATCATTTATTTTGTGTGTACATGTGCCAGTATTAGGGCTTGAATTATGAACTCTTGTCAGCATTCTGTCTCCTTTTTCACTTATGACTGACTGATACTGTACCACTTGAACCACATTTCTTTTCATGTATTGGGTTATTTTTGGTGCTGATGTTGGAATTTTAACTCAGAGCTGTGGTGCTGTTGCTTAGCTTTTTGCTCAAGCCATTCTACCAATAGAGCCACAGCTCTACTTCTCAGCTTTTTGGTGGTTTATTGGAGATAAGACTCTCATGGACTTTCCTGCTGGCTTCAAACTATGATCCTCAGATCTCAGCCTCCTTAGTACTAGGATTACAGGTGTGAGTCACCAGTTATATTTATTGCTTTTTACTGGTAATCGGAATATAAGAATCTCTTGCACTTGTCTGCCTGGGCTGGCTTTGAACCTCAACTCTCAGAATTCAGCCTCCTAAGTAGCCAGGATTGTAGGTGTTCCTAACACTGCTCAGCTTTTGCTCATGTTTTTTGCTCATGGCTAGTGTTATACCATTTGAGCTCCAGTCCAGCTTTTATTGCAGTGGCTAGAGATGGAGTTGCATGGATATTTCTGCCCAGTAGGAGTGAACCACTGGTGCCTGGTAAATATGTTGGTTACAAATGTTAGGTCTATTTTATTGTGTGTGTGTGTTTTTTTTTTGGGGCGGTCGTGGAGCTTGAACTCTGGGCCTGGGCGCTGTCCCTCAGCTCTTCAGCTCAAGGCAAGCTCTCTACCATTTGAGCTACAGCGCCACTTCCTGTTAGGTCTATTTTAAACCATTAGAAAAAGAAATAATCCCAAGTGTTTTGTTTGTTTATTTTAGTGTCATCAAAACCAGTTTTCTTAGTGGGATGCCAATGGCTCAAGCCTGTAATCCTTGCTACTCAGGAGGCTGAGATCTGAGGATCGAGGTTCAAAGGGAAAGTTCTTGAGACTTTTATCTCCAGTGTTTTTACTGGAGAAAACCAGAAAACCGGAAGTGGGGGCGTTGTTGTGGATCATGTGGTAGAGTGCTAGCCCTTGATCTAAAGAGCTGGAGGACAGCTCAGAGGCCCAGAGTTCAATACTCAGGACCAACAGCAACAAAAAAAACACCAGTTTTCTTTGTCTAGGACAGTAGATTTACATATGTGCATTAAGCCATAGCTCTTCTGAAATTCTGCCATATTGACAGAGTTTTTTACATGGATTTTTTTTCCCCTAAAAATTTGCAATAAATTTTCTTACTGTTTTTTAATATCTCAACAATTACATAGCTATGAGAATTTCAAAATAGTTCAAATGTTGTTATTACCCTGTCTGCAAGCCTCTTCCCATAATTAGTGCTGGTTAATGCATTAGCCTTACTTAATCCTGTTTGTGCTGCTAGTAATTTAGAATTCCTTTTCGAGATTGCTTGAATTGAATATGTTAAAAAAAAACTTCACTGTTCCTAAGGTCACACCCATACATTTTAGGTTCCGAGCCTCACTCTATCCCTGCCCTGAGACACCACAAGAAAGGAAAGAGATGGCTTCTGGAGTCAATACCAGGATTGATGATCTCCAAATGGTACACCAAAGGCCAGAGGGAATTTTGTTTTTGTGAACTACTATAGTAGAGGTCTTTTGTCTTTCCTAATTCACTGAGTTTGTTAGGCACCTGCAGAAGTTGAGGATACATTAAGAAATGAAGAGAGGAAGAGAGGAGAGAGGAGGGAAGAGAGAGGAAGGAAGGGGGAAAAAAATGGGATAGGAAGGGGGATTGTACCCATGTATAAGTCTGCCTGGGAGCTGAGCATGTCTCAAGGAATGACTGTTAATAATAGTGTTAGTTGAGGCTGGGAATGTGGCCTAGTGATAGAGTGCTTGTCTAGCATGCATAAAGCCTTGGGTTTGATTCTTGAGTACCACATAAACAGAAATAGCTGGAAGTGGCACTGTGGCTCTAGTGGTAGAGTGCTAGCTTTGAGCAAAAGAAGCTCAGAGACAGCACCCAGACCCCGAGTTCAAGCCCCAGGATTGGCAAATATATATATATATATATATATATATATATATATATATATATATATATATATATATATTTATTTATTTATTTATTTATTATTATTATTTTTATTTTTATTTTTTTTTGGGTCCAGTCATGGGGTCTGAACTCTGGGCCTGGGCACTGTCCCTCAGCTCTTCAGCTCAAGGCTAGCGCTTTACCACTTGAGCCACAGCACCACTTCTGGCTTTTTTCTTTTTGCTTATGTGGTGCTGAGGAATTGAACCCAGGGCCTCAGGCATGCAAGGCAAGCGCTCTACCACTGAGCCACCTTCCCAGCCCTATTATTATTATTATTATCCTCAATGCAGGAATGCTATAGGCATCAGGATTTAAATCCTCTCTAGTTTATGAGTCTGGGATTACGTGTGTGTGTGTGTGTGTGTGTGTGTGTGTGTGTGTGTGTGTGTTGGTATTGGGCTTGAACTCAGGGCCTAGGCACTGTGTGTGTGTGTGTGTGTGTGTGTGTGTGTGTGTGTGTGTGTGTTGGTATTGGGCTTGAACTCAGGGCCTAGGCACTGCCCCGTAGCTTTGTTAGCTCCAAGGCTGGCAGGCACTCTGCCATTTGAGCCAACTCCATTTTGGGCCTTTTGGTAGTTAATTGGAGTAAGAGTTCTTCTATGCATGAACCACTGATACCCAGTAAGTCCAATATTTTTTTATAACAAAAAGAGGGATGGGCTGGTGTCATGGCTCAGTGGTAGAACACCTGCCTAGCAAGTTCAAAGCCCTGAGTTCAAAACTCAGTACTGGTAGTGGAGGTGGGCAGCAGGGATGAGTATGTTTAGCTAAGAAAAAAAGAATACAAAAGTCAGTCTTACCCTTATGCACATACTCTTCTCCCAGGGCAGCTTCTGTTATAGCATGGTGTGTTTCTGGTCACATTTTTTTGTTTGTTTTTTGTTTTCTAGTCCTGGGCTTGAACTCAGGGCCTAGGAACTGTCCCTAAACTTCTTTAGCTCAAGGCTACCACTATTTGAGCCACAGTGCCACTTCCGGCTTTTTCTGTTTATGTGGTACTGAGGAATTGAACCCAGGACTTCATGCATGCTAGGCAAGCACTCTACCACTAAGCCATATTCCCAGACCATCTGGTCACCTTTTTATCTTTTCTTTTTTGGTGCTGGTCCTGGGGTTCGAACTCAGGGCTTGGGTTCTATCCTTGAGCTTTTGTGCTCAAGGCTGGTGCTCCACTTTTGGCTTTTTGGTGGTTAATTGGAGATAAGAGTCTCACACACTTTCCTGCCCTGACTGGCTTTGAACCGTGATCCTCGGGTCTCAGCCTCCTAAGTAGCTAAGATTATATGCATGAGCCACAGGCACCCAGCCATATTGTTATTGTAACTACACAGTCCAGGCAAAGAGCATTGGTATAATTCTAAAATCCATTGAGACTGAATTAGATTTTGACCAAGTCTCTGTGTATTATGCACATTATGGACATCAAAGATTTTTTTTTTTGGTTGTTATTGTTTTGTTTTTGTGGCTTCTGCTATTCAGGAAGCTGATTCAGGAGGATTGCAATTCAAAGCCAGTTTGGGCAGGAAAGCCCATAAGATTCTTATCTCCAGTTAACTATCAAAAAAGTCAGAAGTTGAGCTGTGGCGCAAGTGGTATAGCATTAACCTTGAGCAAAAAAGTTCAGGGATGACTTATATAACTATAACCCCGCTGTACATCAATAACAATAAAATATATGTTGTTGGTGGTGGTGGTTGTGGGGCTTGAACTCAGGGCTTGGGTGCTGTCCCTGAGGCTTTCTGTGCTTAAGGCTAGTGCTCTACCACTTGAGCCACAATGCCACTTCCAGTTTTTGAGTGGTTAATTGGAGATAAGTGCCTCATGGGGACCTTTCTGCCCAGACTGGCTTTGAACCATGATCCTCAGATCTCTGCCTCCTGAACAGGTAGGACTGCAGGCATGAGCCACTGGTTCCCTGCTTAATAAAATAAACTTAAAGAAAAGAAAAAGCACAGGGACACCTGAGTTCAAGCACCAGGATTAGCAGTAAAAACAAAAAACAAAAAAGGCCTACCTAGGGGTAAAGCCTTATCTGTGATGGCAGTTGTATGTGGCAGTCCAAATTCATTTGGAGCTGTGAGTAATCCTCATTGTCATAATGTCTCCCAGATCGCATTCCAGGCATGTCAGGTGATGAGTACTTTACTCTTCCGGTGGTGCTGGCTCACATGCAGGGCATTCTGCTGCTTGCTGTTCTTAAGTGTGGGACTGTCTACTTATAAGCTTGTGGACCTGTGCTACCCACCTCTTCAGGTTCAGGCTTCTATGTGGAAAGTACTGCTCTTTAGCCATCCAAGTGAAAGCTAGGAAACTACATTTGTTGTGCTTTGGGTTGGTGGGTGAATAAATAGAAAGCTAAAAACTGTTTTCTCAGGTGTCTTTTCAGCTGGAAGCTAAATGAAAATGTACATTAGTATAGAACTAATATTTTTTTGTAATTTGACCAAGAATCCAAAAATCCAGCCAGAGAAAGAATAAGGTAGTTCTTTGGTAACTTTTTAAAAAAGGTATGCCTCTTTGTCATTCCTATTCTGAGATATGTTCCTTTCTCCAAAGGTTCTGAATCAAACAGAAGATCACCGCCAGAGGGTTCTGCAGGCAGCTGCTAAGAATATTCGAGTCTGGTTCATCAAGGTGCGGAAGATGAAGGCTATCTACCACACCCTGAACCTATGCAACATAGATGTGACTCAGAAGTGCCTGATTGCAGAAGTCTGGTGTCCTGTCACTGACCTTGACTCCATCCAGTTTGCACTCAGAAGGGGCACGGTGAGTCTCCAAAGCTAACCAGTGAAGCTTACACCAGGAAGAGAGGTTCTGATCAATTCCATTTTATGACATCTTGGCTTTTAGAGTTATTTTTATTTTTTTGATTGGTCATAGGGCTTGAATTCAGGATGTGGGCTCTATCCCTGAGCTTGTTTGCTCAAGGCTAACACTCTACCACTTTGCACCACAGATCCACTTCTGGTTTTCTAGTTGTTAATTGGAGGTAAGAGTCTCATGGCTTTGAACCCTGATCCTCAGATCTCAGCCTTCGAAGCCACCAGTGCCCAGTTTACTTGTAGAGTTTTTAATATTATAATTCTTGTATCCTATAGTTTATATGTAAACAGAATGTCCTACAGTACCAACCAAGTGAAATGATTTGGTCATATGCCCATGATTCTTAGCATGGCTCATAACTGAATATCAGTTTCCTCTTGACTACTTCTGTAGTTCATTAGAGCAATTGCTCTCTAGGCCTGGAAGGATTCAGAGAAATACAAATGTGCCTCAAGTATCAGTTTATTAGGATAGGCTGACACTAAGAGTAGAATGTATGTGGAGAGAGGTATAGCTTTTCTGATGAAACCATCAGAATGAATAAGATATTTATCAGCAGGGGCTGGGAAGGTGGCTCAGTGGTAGAGCGCTTGCCTTGCATGCTCAAGGCCCTGGGTTCGATTCCTCAGCACCACATAAGAAAAAAGCCTGAAGTGGCACTGTGGCTCTAGTGGTAGAGCGCTAGCCTTGAGCTGAAGAGCTGAGGGATAGTGCCCAGGCCCAGAGTTCAGGCCCCACGACCGGACCCAAAAAAAAAAAAAAAAAAGATATTTATCAGCAGTGATGAAAAGAAAACAATATGGACAAAAAGCAGAAGAATGGTACAGTAGTGTGTGGGGGACAAGAACAAGAATTTTAAAGGTTTTGCTGAAAGTAGGAACTAAAACTGCATATGGTTGTTTAGAACCTAATTGTGAATGAATTTTTTTGTGGGGGACTCAATCAGTCATGGGGCTTGAATTCTGGGCCTGGGTGCTGTTCCTGAGCTCTTTTTTGCTCAAGGCTAGTGCTCTACCACTTTGAGACACAGTGCCACTTCAGTTTTCTGGTGGTTAATTGGAGACAAGAGTCTTTAAGACTTTCTTGCGTGGGCTGGCTTTGAACCATGATCCTCAGATCTCAGCCTCCTGAGTAGCTAGGATTACAGGTGTGAGTTGCCAGCACCCAGCTTGATTTTGTGTGTGTGTGTGTGAGGCTTGAACTCAGGATTCACCCTTGCTAATCAGGCACTTGATTTTTTATTTTTTTTTTTTGGTTGGTTGTGGGACCTGAACTCGGCCTGGGTGCTTTCCCTCAGCTTTTCAGCTCAAGGCAAGTGCTCTACCACTTGAGCCTCAGCCCCATTTCCGACTTCTTCTGCTTATGTGGTGCTGAGGAATCGAACCCAGGGCCTCATGCATGCAGGACAAGCACTCTATCACTGAGCCACCTTCCCAGTCTAATCAGGCACTTGAATCATACTTCCAACCAGCAAAGACAGCAAAAGAATGGTTAGTGAACAGAAAAGAACTACTAAAGAATAAAGAGCAGGGGGCTGGGAAGGTGGCTCAGTGGTAGAGTGCTAGCCTTGCATGCCTGAGGCCCTGGGTTCAATTCCTCAGCACCACATAAGCAAAAAGAAGAAAAAGCCGGAAGTGGCGCTGTGGCTCAAGTGGTAGAGCACTAGCCTTGAGCTGAAGAGCTGAGGGACAGCGCCCAGGCCCAGAGTTCAGGCCCCATGTCTGGACCCAAAAAAAAAAAAAGAATAAAGAGCAAGAAGAGGAAGAGTTCCAGTGTCAGCTGTGTATGGGAGAGAAGACAGTCAGTTTGAATGAGCAGCCAGACTGCAGGGATCAAGGCGTGAGGAGCAAGTGGTGAGGAGAAACTGAGCATAAGCTTTGTTTTCTCCGTGAGAGGAGAGTGATGCTTGTGGAAGAAGCAGTTCCATATTTTGAGTTTTGGTTCCACATTTTGCTGGGACTAGAGGTACACACTAGTGTTCTGTCTTAAAGTTTTGTTTTGTTTTGTTTTTTCTGGTAAGGATGTTCTCAGGACTTAATTGAAATTGTATACTTAACTCCAAGTGTCCCCAAAGACTAAACAAGATAACCTTTTGTTGGTTTTATGCAGATAATTTATACAAAAAAAAAACAAAGCACATTTTATGTGTACAGTTTGAATTTTAATACATATATGCATCTGAGTAACCACTGCCACAAGGAGGAGGACAACCTAATCTTGATGTGTTTGCTGATGTTTTTCAGGAACACAGTGGTTCCACTGTACCCTCCATACTGAACAGGATGCAGACAAATCAGACTCCTCCAACCTATAATAAAACCAACAAGTTCACATATGGCTTTCAGAACATAGTAGATGCTTATGGAATTGGGACTTACCGAGAAATAAATCCAGGTAAAAACACTGAACCTTTTTCCTCCTGAAGTTCTCATTTGATTCTTTTAATACCTCACTCTTCTATCCATTGATCAACTAACTTAAAGCTAAAGATGATGTCAAGTCCTCAGTTCACATGTAATTCCTGTGGGACAAGTGTCAATTTGACATGAATAATAAGTTTATCTACTGCTTTAAGAACTCACTGGATTGAATTCTCTGGGTCATGAAGCCTTAGGAACACTTAATTCTCTTTCCTAGCTGGGCACTAGTGGTTCTCAGGAGGCTGAACTCGGAGGATTGTGATTCAAAACCAGCCAAGGCAGTAAAATTCATGAGACTCTTATCTCCAATTAACCACCAGAAAAATAGAAGTGGCGCTGTGGCTCAAGTGGTATAGCACTAGCCTTGAATGAAAAAGCTTAGGAACAGTGTCTAAGGCGGTTCAAGCCTTGCAACCAATCAAAAAAAAAAAACCCAAAAAACAAAAAACACAATTCCTTTTCCTATATTGTTTTTTTGGGGGATGGGGTGGGGAGGTGTTGGTCATGGAATTTGAATTCTGGGCCTGGGCGCTGCCCCTCAGCTCTTCAGCTCAAGGCTAGTGCTCTACCACTTGAGCTACAGTGCCACTTCCAGTTTTCTGGTAGTTTATTGGAGATAAGAGTCTTACGGAAGCCAGGCGCTGGTGGCTCACACCTGTAATCCTAGCTACTCAGGAGGCTGAGATCTGAGGATTGTGGTTCAAAGCCAGCCCGGGCAAGAAAGTCCGTGAGACTCTTATTTCCAATAAACCGCTGGAAAACTGGAAGTGGCGCTGTGGCTTAAGCGGTAGAGTGCTCGTCTTGAGCTGAAGAGCGCAGGGCCAGTGCTCAGGCCCAGAGTTCAAGCCCTACAACCGACAAAAAAGAAATAAATAAATAAAAATAAAAGAGTCTTACGGACTTTTCTGCCCAGGCTGGCTTTGAACTGGCATCCTCAGATCTCAGCCTTTCTAGTAGCTAGGATTACAGGTATGAGCCATTGGTGCCTGGCTTCCTGTATTCTTTTGTATGTATGTGTAACTGTACTGGAACTTGAACTCATGCTCATATTTAGTTTTTGTTTTTTGTTGGTCATGGGTCTTGAACTCTGGGCCTGGACACTGTCCCTGAGCTCTTCATCTCAAGGTCAGCACTCTGCCACTTGAGTCACAGCGCCACTAACGGTTTTCTTGTGGTTGATTGGAGATAAGAGTCTCATGGGACTGGGAAGGTGGCTCAATGGTAGAGCTCTTGCCTTGCATTCATGAGGTTCTGGGTTCAATTCCTCACCACCACATAATCAGAAAAAGCCAGAAGTGGCACTGTGGCTCAAGTGGTAGAGTGCTAGCCTTGAGCCGAAGAGCTGAGGGACAGTGCCCATGCCAAGAGTTCAAGCCCCATGACCAACCAAAAAGACCAAAAAAAAAAAAAGTGTCTCATGGATGTTCCTGCCTGGGCTTGCTTTGAACGACAATCCTCAGATCTCAGCCTCCTGAGTAGTTAGGATTACAGGCGTGAGCAACCAGCACCCAGCTTTCTGTAGTCTTTCTCAGCCATAAAATATCTAGCCTTCTCTAGAAAATCATTTATAGTAATTGTTTTAAGGAAATTTTTTTGGCCAGTCCTGGGGCTTGAACTCTGGGCCTGCATACTGTCTCTGACTCCCTCCCTCCCCCTCATCTCCCTTCCTTCCTTCCTTTCTTCCTTTTGTTCAAGGGGAGCACTCCACCCTTGAGCTACAGTGCCACTTCTGGCTTTTTCTGAGTAGTTTATTGGGGGTAAAAGTCTCACAGATTTTCTTGCCCAGGCTGGCTTTGAACCTCGATCCTCAGATCTGAGCCTCCTGAGTAGCCAGTGGGAGCCACCAGTGCCTGTCTTAAGAAAAATATTCCAAGATATATTTTAGACTTCCTCCTGGCTTCCCTATTCTAAGGTTATATAGAGAAAACAGAGTTATTATTAGCCACTTTTAGTATATTAGGTCTCTCCTCTTTTGAAAATATTAATTGTTGTCAAGAACTAGCATCCATCTTTAGCTGGAGCCGTATTTAGGACCTGCTTTGTCACAATTCTAGGCTTTCCCCATTACTTGGTAGCTTTATTTAGTTCATACATGGCTGTTGCACAGGTGGAGTAAGCTGGTCGTCCCAGAAACTGTGTCAAAAGAGTTAGAAGGGAACTAGAGAGTAAACCATGTTACCTTCATTTCCTGTTAGCTGCTTTGCAAGGGTGCATAGATCCTGCCATGAAAGATTTTTCCTGAGAGTTCATCTGTTTGCCAGCTGAGGAATAAGCTATCCCCATTGATCTTAGAATACAGAGAAAAATGTGGTATTTGGGACATTGTTGTGCTTTTATGTAATTTGTGTTTTTCTTTCTTTGGTTCTTTGTAGCTCCATATACCATCATCACTTTCCCCTTTCTCTTTGCTGTGATGTTTGGAGACTTTGGCCATGGCATTTTGATGACCCTTTTTGCTGTGTGGATGGTGTTAAGGGAGAGCCGGATCCTCTCCCAAAAGAACGAAAATGAGGTAATGTTTGTTACATCTATATTAGATTGAAAAGTTGTTTCTTAAGTATTCATTTATGAAATTAATGATCTAGAAATCCATGAATTTATTATTTGTTTGTTTGGGGTCTGGTAATGGAGCCTGAACTCTGGGGCTGGGTGCTGTCCCTCAGCTCTTCCACTCAAGGCTAGTGCTCTACCACTTGAGCCACAGCGCCACTTCTGGCTTTTTTCTTTTTGCTTATGTGGTGCTGAGGAATCGAACCCAGGGCCTCTGGCATGCAAGGCAAGTGCTCTACCACTGAGCCACCTTCCCAGCCCCCCATGAATTTATTAGAAGGAAATAGAGAAGCTCATTTACCACATGGTAAATTCCTCTTAGCGTTGTAGTTTGGACTTCAGTTCAAGCTTTCTGAATTGGATTGGGTAAAATATTACCCCCCAAAACATCAGCTGAAATAGTACATTTTCCATCACTTCTTTCTTCTGCTTCCCAGATGTTTAGTACTGTGTTCAGTGGTCGATATATCATCCTGTTGATGGGCATATTCTCCATCTACACTGGCCTCATCTACAACGACTGTTTTTCCAAATCTCTTAATATCTTTGGGTCATCTTGGAGTGTACGGCCGATGTTCACTATATATAATTGGACGTAAGTTGCAAAACTAAAAGTCAAAACTAATTCTTTTTATATCCAGCTCTTATTTGTAAGACAGGTGGTAAACTAACCACCCCCTTAGGAAATACTTGGTATTGTCCCTGTTTCAGAAGAATGCAGTGTCACCTCTTAGGTATGCTTTAATCTGAAGTGCTTTGTTACGTATTCAGCAATTATCACAGAATTAGGACGATAAATTAACTGCATTTATTTATCTGTATACTAAGTATAGATTCTCCAAGTTCCCAATTTAGTTGTGTATATTTGGTTAATTTTTCCTTGTGTCTGAATCCTCATCTTTGACTTAGCCCTTCATCTTATTGAAGAGATAGGATAGATGTTTGTAGTTTTTAGGGGGATGGGTTTTTCCACGCCAGTGGCTTCCTCTCTTAATCAGAAGTAAGTGTGACTTTTCACGGTAGGGAGGACACACTTCGGGGAAATCCTGTTCTCCAGTTGAATCCAACTGTCCGTGGAGTTTTTGGTGGACCATACCCATTTGGCATCGATCCGGTAAGAGTACTTCTTTTTCTGTGTGCTATCTCCAAGGTTTTTAATATAGCCCTGAAAAGAGAATTAAAGTGAAGAGTTATTTGGTTTTTAGTTGACATATTTTTTTTTAAACTTGGATGTATTTGTTCAGTTTATCAGACTATAGAAACCTAAGTACCTTGGAGAGCTGTGTGTATGTGTATGTATGTGTGTGTGTATTTTTTCCCACATTGTTTATTTCTGAGATGGCTAGTTATATCAACTGTGGTAAAAATGAATTTCAAGACTTCCAGTTCTGGGCTGGGAAGGTGGTTCAGTGGTAGAGCGCTTGCCTTGCAATGCATGAGGCCCTGGGTTCGATTCCCCAGCACCACATAAGAAAAAAGCCGAAAGTGGCGCTGTGGCTCAAGTGGTAGAGCGCTAGCCTTGAGCTGAAGAGCTGAGGGACAGCACCCAGGCCCAGAGTTCAGGCCCCACAACCGGACCCCCCCAAAAAAAAAAAGACTTCCAGTTCTTCTTTGATTTTTCTAAATGTTTTAGTTGAGCTAGGCATTGGTTACCTACAATCCCAGATACTTAGGAGGCTTAGATCTCTAAGGATCATGGCTCAAAGCCAGCTCAGGCAGAAAAATCTGAGAGACTCTTATCTCCAATGAAGTACTTTAAAAAAAAAAAGAAAAAAGCTTCACAGACTATCCTGCCTGGGCTGTCTTTGAACCATGATCTTCAGATCTCAGTCTCTTGAGGATTACAGGCATGAACCACCAGCACCTGGCTTATGTAATGTATCATATTTCTTTGTCTTCTTTTAAGAGTTCCTCTTTGCTGGTGTAAAAGGATGTGATTGTGATAGTTATTAATCAGGTTTTCTTTTTTCAAGAAAGGTCTTTTTTTTTTTTTGTCGGTCATGGGGCTTGAACTCTGGGCCTGGACTCTGTCCCTCAACTCTTTAGCTCAAGGCCACCTGAGTCACAGCACCACTTCTGGTTTTCTGTTGGTTAATTTGAAATAAGAATCTCACGGATGTTCCTGCTCAGGCTAGCTTTGAACCAAGATCCTCAGATCTCAGAGCTCGGCTTAAGAAAAGTCTTTTCTTAAATACATGAATAATATTTTTCTATTCAAGAATTCTTTGGTACCTTTTGTTTTCTTGGTTATAGATCTGGAACATTGCAACCAACAAACTGACCTTCCTCAACTCCTTTAAGATGAAAATGTCTGTTATTCTTGGTATTGTCCATATGATGTTTGGAGTCAGCTTGAGCCTTTTCAACCATATGTGAGTTATTCTGTTCTCATCATTGCAAAACATCTTTGGGGAGGGATTAGTAACTCAGAACCTGTTTCTGTATTGTAGAAGTGATTTATAAAAAAAATCTCATGGTGAAGGGTACTGGTAATTCATGCCTGTAATCCTAGCTACTCAGGAAGCTGAGATCTGAGGATCACGGTTCAAAGTCAGCCTGGCCAGGAAAGGCTGTGAGACTCTGCTCTCCAATTAACCACTAGAAAACCAGAAGTGGCTCTGTGGCTAACGTGGTAGCGTGCTCACCTTAAGCTGAAGAGCTGAGGGACAGCTCCTAGGCCCAGAGTTCAAGCACCATGGCCGAAACACACACACACACACACACACACGCACACACACACACACACACACACGCGCGCGCACACACACGCACACACACAGGAAATCTCATGGTTGCCAGTTGCTGGTGGCTCACGCCTGTAATCCTAGCTACTCAGGAGGCTGAGATCTGAGGATTGCAGTTCAAAGTCAGCCCGGGCAGGAAAGGCTGTAAGACTCTTCTCTCCAATAAACCGCCAGAAAACCAGAAATGGTGCTGTGGCTCAAGTGGTAGAGTGCTAGCCTTGAGCTGAAGAGCTGAGGGACAGCACCCAAGCCCAGAGTTCTAGCCCCATAACCACCACCAACAACAACAGATCTCATGGTCTTAAATGAGGACCAGTGGCTTATGTCTATAATCCCTGCTACTCAGATGGCTGAGATCTGAGGATCCAGATTTGAAGCCAGCCTGGTCAGGAAAGACCATGAGATTCTTTGGTTGGTAGTGGTAGTAGTAGTCATGAGGGTTGACCGTGGGCCCTGGGAACTGTCCCTGAGGAAGGCTAGCACTTTATCACTTTAAGCTACTGTGCTACTTCTGGTTTTCTGGAGGTTGATTGCAGATAATAACTTCATGTACTTTCTTGCCAGGGCTGGCTTTGAACCTCGATCTTCAGATCTCAGCTTCCTGAGTAGCTAAGATTACACATGTGAGCCACCAGCACCTAGACTCTTATCTTCCATTAACTACCAAAAAGCCAAAAGTGGAGCTGCTGCTCAAATGGTAGAGCATTAGCCTTGAGCACAAAAACTCAGGGATAGGCCTGGGAATGTAGCATAGTGGTAGAGTGCTTGCTTAGCATGCATGAAGCCTTGCGTTCCATTCCTCAGTACTATATAAACCAAAAAAGCCAGAAGTGGTGCTGTGTTTCAAGTGGTAGAGCACTAACCTTGAGTAAAAGAAGCTCAGGGACAGTGCTCAGGCCCTGAGAGTATATGTATGTCCTCTAACAATTTACAGTTGTAATAAAAATATTTTTTAAAAAATCCTCAGCAGTTTTGTCAAACTGAGTGAATTCTTTCTTGTTTTTGTTGTCATAGATTGAACTTGGAGCTTTCTGGTAGACAGAATTGTGTGAGAAATTTTTTTTTTGAGCGGGGGGGGGGGGGGGGAGGAGGGGGGGGGACTGGTCGTGAGGCCTGAACTCTGGGCCTGGGCGCTATCCCTCAGCTCTTCAGCTCAAGGCTAGCGCTCTACCACTTGAGCCACAGCGCCACTTCCAGCTTTTTTCTTTTTTGCTTATGTGGTGCTGAGGAATCAAACCCAGGGCCTCATGCATGCAAGGCAAGCGCTCTACCACTGATCCACCTTCCCAGCCCCTTGTAGGAGAAATCTTGTGAGCATTCTGTTCCCCTCAGTGACGAGGTGGCCCTGGGTCTGTTTATTCTTACATTTTCTTTCTCTTTTCCCTTTTAGCTATTTCAAGAAGCCCCTGAACATCTACTTTGGATTCATCCCTGAAATAATCTTCATGTCCTCTTTGTTTGGCTACTTGGTTATCCTTATTTTTTACAAGTGGACAGCCTATGATGCTCATTCATCTGAGAATGCACCAAGCCTTCTGATCCATTTCATAAACATGTTCCTCTTTTCCTACCCAGAATCAGGTTTTCCAATGCTGTATTCTGGACAGGTGTGTCAACTTAAAGGAGAGCTGTCATAGATAGTTACCCTAGGTCAAAAAGTTAGATGAAGACTCCTTTTCTATAGTGTTTGGTTTTCAGCCCATGTATCCAGATCTAAGTTCAAACCATCCTCCTTTGGCTTTGGAGAATTCACTATAATTTCTGTGTTCAGAAAGGATGTAGTTTAGAATTACCATCTATGGGACAATTCTGGGACTTAAATATCTGTTGATCATTTTTGAGAAACCAGATAGTCGTATTCATAAATTGATAAGAAAGCATTGGGGAAATGAGTGATTTGCCTACTATTTGCCGCTGGTCTGACTCTGCTGTGATTGGTTGACTTTAAAAATAAAATTTGTCTTCTTCAATGAAAAAAAAAAAAAAGAAAGAAAACATTGGGGAAAAATTGTGTTGCATATTGATTGATGGACTTACATGTGATGTACCTTATTCTTTGCAGAAAGGAATTCAGTGTTTCCTGGTAGTGGTGGCCCTACTATGTGTACCTTGGATGCTGTTGTGTAAGCCACTGATCCTTCGTCATCAGTATCTGAGGAGGAAGCATTTGGTGAGTATATTCCTACACTGGAATTACTAGGTGTTTTTTTTTTAAGACCAAAGCAGTTCCCCAAAGTATAAAATTAATTTTCAAACATCTGTATATTCTTAAAATGCATTTACTTTGTATCCCAGCATGATCACTGGGCCTGCGGAAGTAGAGAAATACATATTTGTTGCTCAAACATCTGGATTCAGCCTTTGAGTGGCTGGGGTGGAGAGAATAAACCATGTGTCTGCTATCTTTTGTGGTCATGATTTACTCATACTGTGCTCAGAAGAATCCAGTCCTGTTATATGCAGCATCAGCCAAAGCAAGGCTAGAAGAGCTGCAGACGATGAAACAACTCATGTGGTTTGCCTGGGCAACCACAGGACTGATGCTGGGACATTTTCTTTTAAAATGAGACCATGATACTTTCACTGAGCAAAACATCCGGGAAAAAGGTTTGGTTTAAAGCACACTGATTTTTTTTTTCCTTTTAAGAAACAGCGTACATACAAGTATTTACTAATGTATGTGTGCATATGTTGGCCAGTGTTCAATATTGTGTAATTTCTGGCTATCCAATAATGCTTATTTACTGCACGCCTGGGGAAGCCCCAAAGACCTTGTTGCATGATATTCATGTGACTGTAAGATTATTCCTGCTATTGGAAAGCAGCTGAGTTACAAGACCGTCCTTCTCCCTTTTCTGACCATCTTCATCCTTCCACGTACCCTCCATTCGTCTCCCCCTTTCCCTCCCTCCCTCTTTTGTTTTCTTCTCCTTTTCTTCCATTCACTATCAGGAAGGGCAACCTGTGGAGGCCCCAGTCAGCCCAACCCCGAGCCAACAGGGACTAGAGGCAGCAGCGGCTGCAACAGTGAGTGCATTAAATCCATCACCCCAAACATTTTGTTTAAAGAGGTGGCAAACAGTGCAGCAGAATTCTTTTTTAATGCTATTGAGATCATGGCACATGCGTGCCCTCAGGAAGTGTGTCCTTGTAACTCATGAAACACTGACAGAAGAGCTTTCCACCTCTTAAGAGTAGATTCTGGTATCGTCTTTACATTGATCTAAAGTTTCTGTTCAGATATGTAAGTATAGTCCTATACTTGAGAGCACAGTGCATGTTGTACCTCTCTGAGTCCTATCATCTTACTGTAAAGTGGCAGCTCTTGGATCATCCACTTTTGTGTCTGCATTCTGTGACTATGAACTGGAGATTTCTCAGCACGGAGGCTAGAACATCTCTGTAATTCTTGAGCTGATTTCCCTGTACTTTAGAATTCTGCGTGAGAGATGCTTGGACATTGGTCCTTTTTAGCATTGACTTACCCTTCTAGAATGAGAGTGTTACTTGTTCCCTTTATTGTAAGACTCCGAAGCCCTCACATCTTCAGCTGTTTCATTGAAATCTCTCTCCCATGTGTCTTGTGCATGCTATACATCTGGTGTAATAACCAAGTTCATGTTCTGTCTTCATCTTTCCTCCTTCTGATACTATCTTGTGATTCAGTAACAGCACTTTCAACTTCAACACATTTCAGTATTTGCTCTGAAAGATATCTTTTAACCATAATATTATACTAATATCAGCCTAACTCATTCTGGATTTGTAAAATCTCACTATTAGTGATTACTTATGTACTTCCATGCTCTGGTAGCACATACTCCTTTAAGGCAAATGAAATGTTTACATGGATAATCGCTTTTTTCCATTATGGGCTCCTGATCATTTTAAACTTGGAAAACTGCTTAGCCATCCTACTAGAAAAGGGATGATTTTTCTTTTTTCTTATTTTTTCTTTTCGGGTGGGGGGGAAGATCAGCAGGAATTTCAATCTTGCTGCTTCAAACTATTTTCCAGCAGAGACTTACTTTCTCCTTCCCTATGAATAAAAAATAAAAGCACACAATACCTGTGGCTGATGGTCTTCCCTCATACTGGTCTTTTTGCCAGTCTCAGCATCAGAAGGTGCTTCTGAGATGGTCTTGCTGCTTTGAAGTCTAGTACTTCTTCTGTGACAGACTGAGTTAATATTCCCAGTTTGCAAACAATCATATTCCTTTAGCTTGTCCTCTTGGGACAAGAAGATGTTGTTCTTGCTACACTTGAAGTCCTTTTGTGGACTTCTTTTGAAGAAGAAATTCTTGTTATACTTGAAGTCCTTCTATTTATTTATTTATTTATTTTTGTTGGTTGTGGGGCTTGAACTCTAGGCCTGGTCGCTGTCCCTCAGCTCTTCAGCTCAAGGCGAGTGCTCTACCACTTGAGCCACAGCGCCACTTGAAGTCCTTCTTTTGGGAGTGGTCAGATGTCATTTGTGCCTGACCTGGAAGTATTCAAACTATAGTACTTCCAAAATCTGACCAAACATCTGAATCACCTGGTAAACTTAATTTGTTCCTTAAGAGTATTAAATTCTTAAGAGTATTAAATAAGTTGAAGAAATACAAGAGGCTTATGATTCATATTAATTCTCACTCAGAAAATTTCCTACTGACATTAAATAATGCAATAGGTACACTTGGCTAGAGGGTGCTTATAGTACTAACCACAAAGAAACCTTCATCCCTGCTATGTTCTCCTCTGAAGCATTGTTAACAATGAGGAACTTTGTATCTGCCTATCATCTGTGTGTATGTGTGTGTGTGTGTGTGTGTGTGTGTGTGTAGAAGGAGAGAGATGTATGGAATTGTGTTTTGGACTATAACACTTTTAGTAGTATTGGGGTTTGAACTGCACTTTAGATTTGTATACCCCTTGATTTTTTTTAGTTTTTTTTTTAGAACTTTAGTTTATCTTAGAGGGTGTTTCATAGTGGTACTCACTTTTACAGTAACCTGTAGAATAGTCTCTTGGATTACCAAAATTATGGGAGCACTCTTGTCATTGATGGATGTGTTGGTTTTTCCCAGTTATTTGCTATTAGAAACAATGATACATAATTAATACTTGTCCATACATACTTTATTAAAGCTTTCCAGCAGTACCATTATTGAATCTCAAGGATGCATGTGTTTTACATTTTGATATGGCCTTCACTGTGATTGTACACTTCACACTTGTAAAGATAGTAGTTTTTTATTTTTTGCCAGTCCTGGGACTTGAACTCAGAGCCTGAGCACTGTCCTTGAGCTTCTTTTTGCTCAAGGCTAGCCCTCTACCATTTGAGCCACAGTACTACTTCCTGCTTTTTCTGTGGATGTGGTACTGAGGAATGGAACCCAGGGCTTCCTGCATGCAAGCACTCTACCACTAAGCCACATTCCCAGCCCCAAATAGTAGTTTTCTTTTCTTTTTTTTTTTTTTTTTTTTGGTCAGTCATGGGGCTTGAACTCTGGGCCTGGGCACTGTCCCTGAGCTCTTCAGCATTCTACTACTTGAACCACAGCACCACTTCTGGTTTTCTGGTGGTTAATTGGAGATAAGAGTCTCATGGACTTTCCTGCCCAGACTGGCTTTGAACCATGATCCTCAGATCTTAGCCTCCTGAGTAGCTAGGATTACAGGCATGAACCACCAGCACCTGGCTAAGATAGTAGTTTTTAAATAAAAATTTCCTATGTTCACCCAAGACCTAAAATATTTCCAAAAATAGTATTTGAGAATCTAAAGAGTAGCTTCCAAGGTGATTCTAATGGAGCTGGTTCTCTGGACAGCATGTAAGGACCACTGCTGCAAATGCTAGGGGTCTGAGCGGGCACTGAGCTGTGGTAAGCAGGGCACCTAAAAAGTGAAGCTGAAGAGGAGGACTATAGGATTCTGGTCAAACCTGCTTTCATACTTTGGGTGCTGCCATCCAGACAGCTCTCTACATTGTCCCTAGACAGAAGTATCTAAAGTATGAAGAGCAGCCATCTCCTATTATTTATTTATTTATTGTTCTAGTTCTGGGGCTAGAACTCAGGACCTGGGCATTGTCCCTAAGCATGTTTGCCCAAGGCTAGCACCTCTACCATTTGAGCCACAGCTTCAGTTCTAGCTTTTTGGTGGTTAATTGGAGATTAGAGTTATAGACTTTTCCTGTCTGGGCTGGCTTCAAACTGTAATGCTTAGATTTCAGCCTCCTAAATAGCTAGGACTACAGGTGTGAGCTACTGGCAGCCAGCTCCAAACACCTTTTTACTTTGCTGCTATTTTAACCCAATTCGTCCTGGATTTTGTAACCAGAGGACTTTTACATCAATGAACCCCAAGAGTTTTGTTTATTTAATTTTTTGGGGGGTGGCGGCATTTTGCGAGAAAGAGGTCTGGTATGGGAGTTTGAAGTTAGGGCCTCAGGATTACCTGGTTTGCTTTCTTTTCTTTTCTTTCTTTCTTTCTTCCTTCCTTCCTTCCTTTCTTCCTTTCTTTCTTTCTTTTTTTTTTTTTGTTGGTCATGGGGTTTGAACTCTGGGCCTGAGAGCTGTCCTTCAGCTCTTCAGCTCAAAGTGAGTGCTTTACCACTTGAGCCATAGCATCACTTCCGGTTTTCTGGTGGTTATTTGGAGATGAGTCTCACAGAGTTTCCTGCCCTGGCTGACTTTGAACCATAATCCTCAGATCTCATCCTCCTGAGTAGCAGGATTACAGGTGTGAGCCACCAGTGCCTGGCTCCAGCCTAACTTTTGGCTGGTTATTTTTGGAGATAGAGTCTCACAGACTTTTCTGCTAAGAATACCAGGCAGAATCTCAGCCTCTTGAGTACCTAGGATTACACTTGGGAGCTGCCAGTGCTGAACTAAACCCAAGTGTTTTTTTGTTTTTGTTTTTGTTTTTTTGGGTCCGGTTGTGAGGCCTGAACTCCGGACCTGGGCACTGTCCCTTAGCTCTTCAGCTCAAGGCTAGTGCTCTACCACTTGAGCCACAACGCCACTTCTGGCTTTTTTTCTTTCCGCTTATGTGGTGCTGAGGAATCGAACCCAGGGCCTCTTGCATGCAAGGCAAGCGCTCTACCACTGAGCCACCTTCCCAGCCCAACCCAAGTTTTTGTAAGTCGAGTTGACTTGAAAATTCTGTGTATAGAGATCCTGCTGAAGACTGAAGAGCAAACACCAAGTCAGCATCTGCCCATATGCCTATAGAGGAGTAATTTTTATTTATTTTTTGGTGCCAGTCCTAGGGTTTGAATTCAGGGCCTGGGCACTGTCCCTGAGCTTCTTTTGCTCAAGGCTAGCACTCTACCACTTGAGCCACAGTGCCACTTCCAGCTTTTTCTGTGTATATGGTGTGAGGAATGGAACCCAAGGCTTCATTCATGCTAGGCAAGCACTCTACCGCTAAGCCACATTCCCAACCTAGAGGAGTAGTTTGAACATCATATATTCTCTAGCAACAAATGATTGTACATAAAGTTGTAGGGGGGATGGAGGGAGTTGTCTCCTTGACTTAGGGAGTCCTTTATCTTAGTAAGAAACCCAGTGCATATTTGAGAGAGGTTGCTGGAATTCTTGAGCTTCTGTTGAAACTTACCAGATAAACTCGCCTTGTCATTTGATTACCCTCCCTCTTAGAAAATCTAATCTTCATTTGCAGTAAAACATGGCCACTGGCAAGCTTTATGGATGAGCTGCACTTGTTAGGAGAGTCTTCATATTCAGTTTTTGATCAGGGTGAGCCTGGTGCATCTTGGTGAAGCCAGATGAAGTGATAAACACTGGTTACACCTGTGGGGGCTGGGGCAGGGTTGGGATGGGAGCAGTTGTCTTCACCACAACTGTTCAGTGAATTTTGCTTTTGTTGTTAGGATGTATGCCTTTCTGAGGTTTGTATGTACTAACCATCACCCTTCCCCACCTCACAGAATGTCACTTTAAAGCCCAGGCAAATTCTACTCTTTCTGTTCATCTGTGTAGGGAACTCTCAACTTTGGTGGGATCAGGGTGGGCAACGGACCAACAGAGGAGGATGCTGAGATAATTCAGCATGACCAGCTCTCCACCCATTCAGAGGACGCGGAAGAGGTAAGATACAGCGGTGTGGGCATCTTCTCCTTCCAGCTCGGTCGGGTCAGCCTAGTCTTGTTTTCCTCAGAGGCTCACTTCAGTCTTCTCCTTAAAAAAAAAAATACTAATAGTTGGTCACCTTCTGGACCACTTAGGGCACTACAGCTGGCCTCACTCTTAAGCTCCAGGTGTTGCCCAAGGAGCCTGAAGCAGCTTTGCTCTGCTCTTCTTGATTTTCCTGTTGCCTGAAGTACTTTGCATGTGACCTTAGTTACTAACTGCTCTCCTTGGCCCAGGCAGCACCTAGTGTCCCAGCTTTTGTTACCAGAAGCACAGAGAGCTTAGGATAGCTTCTTCATCCCTTGATCCTTCTGAGAATTATTCTACTTAGACTGCTTACCAGCTGTAATCACTGATACTTTTTAAGGCCTACCTCTCTGGTATGTTCTTATTGAAGATATTTTGTTGGAGCTTTTTTTTTTTTTTTGCTTTTTTTGCTGTTGTAGTTACTGGCCTTCTTTTTACAGGGAGAGTGGAAACATCAGGTTAGGCTAGTCTTTCTTTAAGTCATTACCTCCATCTCTAGTTATTGAATCCACTCTCCTTGCCCAGCTACTCATAGCACAAAGCCTCCAAACTTAACTATTAAATCTCATCCACTCATCATATTCTTTTTAAAATAAATAGGATAGAAATGAGATGGAGGATCCAGCTTGGGCTGTTAAGTCTATCTGCCCACTTTGACTCTGATTTTTTTTTAATGCCAGGTATCAGGATACTTTTTAAAAATATGTGACTTAATCCTCTAAATCCCTGTGTGTGCTAACAAGGCCTGCTTCTGACATGTTAGCCCCATTTAATATTTCCAATCCTTCCCGAGGTATGTGCTTATAACTTGTGACCTTGTTTGTGGCGTGGCTTCCCACTTAAGTGTCAATTTGTGTTTTCAAGCCTACCGAGGATGAAGTGGTAAGACCAAAGCCTTCATGTTTATCTGGGGCTTCTCTTTTCCCATCCTTGTGATCACTCTGCTGTCCCTGCCACACCCTGGGGCCACACATACATGACCCTATGCATCGTGCATCTCACTGGCCATTTCTAACCAGTTTGTGAGCCTGTGTTCTGACAAAGCTCATCTCCATTAACTGCATCTCATGCTGGTCATCTCTGTCTTTGTGTCATTGATTTTGCTGATCTAATACCTCTGAGAGTGGCTTTGAAGGAGTTGCAAGTAATGTCTGCACTGGCATTCTTGAAATGACTCCTCTCAGGGTTAAGTCCCATGGGCCTCCACCTTCCTCTCCTGTGGTAGCTATCTCTGCCCTGCCTCTCTGAGTGCTTATGAGCAAAGCTTACCTTTCCTCCCTGTCTGATATGCAGTCAGCCTCTTCCTGCTGCCCTCATCAGCTTGCTGATGCTTCAGCTTGAGACCGTATACCCTTGCTTAGAGTCAGTTCTGCCTCCATGTGACCTAGGTGAGAAGTAGACAGCTGTCAAAAGGAGGTTTTGCCTCTCAGGTGCATCCTGGGAAAAACAATCAGTCTGAATGGAAAGAGTTCATACAACAGGCACATGTGGAGAATGACAGAATGGAAAGAAATTTGAATTGTTTAGGCTATGTCTAAAGTACTGAGCAGTACTTCATTTAGCAACACACGTTTTTGAATTGAGTTTTTAAAAGGCCTCGCTGCACTGTTTGCGTCTTTCCCCAAAACTTCTCTCTAAAATACCTAGAATTATGAACTCTACCTTTCTCTTTCCTGGCTCTCCTGGTCCTAAAGGGCAGAGGGATGGCATGGGGAAAAAAAAAAAAAAAACAACTTTGCTGTTCTGTGTAAAAACAGGCAGTACGTGCTCTTCATGAAGTCTGGAGAGGTTCCTTTGCTGGCATCAAGGACATCCTTTGTTCCTGGACCGCTCGTCTGTGCAGTCGCTGGCTGACCTGCCTTGCATGGTGGGGGGTTGGGGAGGCAGTGTTCCATGTTGGGGAGGAGCCCAGTCCTCTCCCAGTACTACCACCTACAACAATACTGCTGTGAAAATATCTTTTTCATTGAGCACACAGAATGGTTCAGCCAGCCGTCTAGAACCAGTGTCCTCATTTGTAGCCATAGCCCTAGGGGTTGGGCATCCAAAGAAGATGGGCTAAATTCAGCCTTCCAGCCTCTGGCCATCCAGCCTACCACTACTCATGGATTCAGTGTCTGTTGGCTTCCTCAGTAGTCATAACTGGTAACGGAGTTTGAACTTAGCCTGGAGCTATTCAGCTAGCTTGCTGAGCTGGCACTCTACCCCTTGAACCATGCATCCAGCCCTGCTTTTTGCTGGCTGTTTCAGAGATGGCATCTTGAGGACTTTTCTGGCCTGGCTTTGAACCATGATCCTCTGGATCTCAACCTCCTGAGTATCTAGGATTACAGATATGAGCCTCTGGCACTCATAGCATTTTATTTTATTTTATTTTGGCCAGTCCTGGGGCTTGAACTCAGGGCCTGGGAGCTGTCCCTGAGCTTCTTTTTACTCAAGGCTAGCCACAGCGCCACTTCAGGCTTCTTCTATATATGTGTTGCTGAGGAATCGAAACCTGAGCTTCATGCATGCGATTCAAGCACTCTACCACTGAGTCACCTTCCCAGCCCAACATTTTATTTTTATCAGGCAAATTTAGAAAACTGATGTTACTTAATGATTTCAAACAAAACAGATTCTTTTGGAGGAAAAAAAGTTCAGCCTACTAGAATTTTCCCACTTTGCTTGGCTGTGAAAACTGTTTCACATGGGACATTGTTCCCTCTCCCTAGGAGGCACTCAGCCAGCTGCAGACCAGAGCCAGATCTCTGGTATCTGAGAAATCTGTAACGACACAGCAAGAGTCAGTGTTCCCACCCCCACTGTCCTTTTCTTACCAAGTACATTCACCAGCCCATCTACGCACTCGCCCATCCATCTTTGTATTCCTTCACCTCCATGTGTCAGGCACTCACTATGTTTAGTGCTGTAGAAACAGAAGGCAAACAGTTGTTGCCTTTAAGGATTTCCCAGGCAGAGTGTTGGAAGAGCCAGGGTGACAGACACAGTAGATGTGTGCCAAGGATGCTGTGACAGCACAGAAAAAGCATCTCACAGACACCGGGGTGAGGAGACCAGGAGAGGAATCTCTTAGGGAGCAAGTGCTGAGCTCAGTTTGGCCAAGCAGACGTCTCTGGAGAGAGGGAGAGAAGAAGGTAGACCCACCAGTGTCCATAGTGTTCCAAAAATGAAATGAATCTTTGAGTTGCTTGGCCCATACCGTGTTGAGCAAGGGTTCAGTTTGGCTAGAACAGGCAGAGGTTGGGGGACTGGGTGAGAGATAAGAATAGAGATTGGCAGGGACCAGCTGTGAGATTTTGGATCAGCCAGGTGCTGATGGCTCACGCCTGTAATCCTAGCTACTCAGGAGGCTGAGATCTGAGAATAATGGTTCCACGCTAGCCCGGGAAGAAAAGGGCAGAAAAGTCTGTGAGACTCTTATCTCCAATTAACCACTAGAAAACTCGAAGTAGCGCTGTAGCTCAAGCGATAGAGCTCTCGCCTTGAGCTGAAGAGTGCAGGGATAGTGCCCAAGCCTAGAGTTCAAGCCCCATGACCGACAAAAAAAAAAAAAAAAAAAAGATTTTGGGTCATTTAGGGAACAAGCCCTCGGACTCATGGAGCAGGGGCTGACACTGACCTAAGCACATGTGCACTGCTGGTGGTGAAGTTGTAGGGTACGTTGAATGGGGGAAGAACCAATCTGGAGGTATGGACAGCTTGTAGTCAGAAGTGATTCAGGAAAGAACTGGGCAACTTAAAGGAAAATACAGCATTTATAGAGGGAATTGGAAGGGCAGGTTCAATTTGAGACACTACCACAATAAAAGCTAATGACCCGGGGCTTTGATAAATGTGATGGGTAAGAATGAGATGGATTCCCAGACTTGGAAAGGAGACGTGGAGCAGAAGTCAGTTTGCAGTTGCTGAGTTTCACTTGGTGCTGCTGGTGCTGGGCACCCATGGTATGCCAGGAGATGCAGCACAGCAGTACAGAGATGGAGATGTCCATTTAGGAGTCACTTCTGAAGTGACCATAGTGGCCGGAACTCTAGGCAACCTTGAGGCTTAGAGAAGAACTGTGATGGAGATAAGGAATTTCCAGGGAGATGGGAGGAAGATGAAAGGGAAGCAAGCGTGTCTAGGTGGTGACAGACATCAGAGGAGGATGGTCACAGACATAGACTATTAGATTTAAGCACTGGGCAGTGCTTCCTCCCAGGAAGAGCCATTTTGAGGGTTGAAGCCAGGGTGCAGAATAAATGGGTGAGATAGAGAACGCAGAAATGGGAGCATGCACCTCAGAGCTACTTACATTGTGCTAGGCCAGTAATTCTCACCTTGCCTGAGAAAACATGCCCTGATTGCAAAGCAGCAAGATGGGAATGAAGAAGAAGGGGTACTGCCTAAAAGGAAAATTTCTCCCCTCCTTTCCTGTTTTGTTTTTGTTTTTGTTGTTGTTGTTTGTTTTACAGGGAAGTAAGGGCAGTACTTGTTTGAACTCAGGACCTCTTGCTTGCTCAGCTGGCACTCTATCCCTTGAGCCCTGCCTCCAGCTCTACTTTTTGCTGATTGTTTTGGAGATAAAGTTGCACTGACTTTTCTGCTCACTGTGGCCTTGAACTGCCATCCTACGGATCTTAGCCTCCTGAGTAGGATTACAGCTGTGAGCTACTACTATCCAGCTTCTTTTTCTTTTTTCTTTTTTTATTGTTTTTGTTGCCATTGCTGGTACTTGACCTTAGGGCCTAGACACTGGTCCCTGAGCATTTTTGCTCAAGGCTAATTATCCCTTAAACCACAGTTCCACTCCTAGTTGTTTTTTTTTTTTTTTTTTTTTGAGATGAGAGTCATTGACCTTCCTGCCTGGGTTGGCTTCAAACCCTAATCTCTGATCTCAGGCTGCTGAGTAACTAGGATTACAGGCATGTACCACTGGCATTCAGCTTTTCTTTTTCTTTCCTTTTTTTTTTCCCCTCTTTCTGTTGTTGGTCCTAGGGCTTGAACTCAGGGCCTGGGTGCTGTTCCTAAGTTTTTTCACTCAAAGCTAGCACTCTACCACTTTGAGCCACAGCACCACTTCTGGTTTTCTGGTGGTTAAATTGGAGATAAGAGTCTCATGGACTTTCTTGTCCAAGCTGGCTTTGAACTGCAGTCCCAGGTCTTAGCCTCCTGAGTAGCTAGGGTAACAGGCATTAGCCACAGCACCTAGCTCTTTCTCTTTTTTGCTAGGAGAAATTTGAGTAGAATAAAAATACTGAAAGTGGTCCTTATTGCCACTGAACCTAGGAATAAAGATCTGGGCTCCTAGAGGTCTGGACTTCGCTTCTTCTAAGTCCAGGCAGCAGGGATAGGAAAGAACTCATTTCAGCATTAGGGGGACTTACGTAACTAGGGGTATTAGGTTTCTTTAGTTTTCAGGGTAAGAAGCTTAGAGAGGAAAAGTCCAGAAACTCATGGGGTTAAACAGATGTGAGAGGAAGCGAGGCATGTCCCTAGCAATGACATGCTGGGGCTGGTCCCTCTTCCCACTGGCCTTCATCTTACAGCTTTATGGTATAGACCCTGAGCTGAGGGCCAGGGCAGCTGGCCGAGCCTTAAGAGCTTGTAGGGCCCAGGGCTATGCTAGGCTAGCCTCTGAGGAGCAGCTCTGGAAGTGACCACCACCTCCTGGGCTTTGGTGGACTATTGATTACTCTACCTGGTACTTCTAAAACATTACATGTTTAGAAAGCTGCATAACACAGATTGTGCTTGAAGCAATCCTAAAAGCGAACTACGAAGTGACAAGTTTTTTTGTTTTTGTTTTTGTTTTTGTCAATCTAGGGCTTGGATGCAGGGCCTAGGTGCTGTCCCTGCGTTTTTATGCGCAAGGCTAGTGCTCTACCAGTTTGAGCCATGGTTCTCTACTTCTAGTTTGTAGGTGGTTAATTGGAGATAAGAACCTTACAGACTTTCCTGCCCAGGCTGGCTTCAAGCCACGTCCACAGATATGAGTCTCCTGAGTAGCTAGGATTACAGGTGTGAGCCACTAGCACCCAGCCACTTTTTTTTTAAATACAGGCTCTCACTGTATGGCCCAGATGGTCTCCAACTTTTGGATCCTCCTGCCTCAGCCTCCCGAGTGCTGGGATCGCTGGCATTCAGCACCATGCCTGGCCACCCCCTTCTTCTAGAAATAATACTTGATATTGAAAGGAAAATGGAAAGGATCCTGCGGTGGTAGTGGGGATAACACAAGATAAGCTAACCAGCTATCTATGGGAGAATCTTAAGACTTGTATAGAAATTTTCCTGGGTAATCTTCAGAAGTCACAAAAGAAAAAGGAAATTGTCTTGGCCTCACAGAACTGTAAAAAGAATGAGTCTGTGGAGAATTAGACTTCTGCAGGTATTTTCCAGCCTGTCTGTGCCTGCTCTTGCCACTGCCACATTCCCTGGTTTTCATTTCCCAGCTGGCCTCACCTTGAGGTAGGAAGCAGCCGGGTGGGGTCCTCTGGCAGTCCTCTCTCCACTGAGCATTCTTGCTTGGCCCAGTGTGTACCCTGCTCTGGAGCTCAGCGCCCAGCAGGAAGAGTACACAAAAGTTGGGAAGGATCTCATTAAAATATGATCCAGTGTGGTTTGTTGAGAGGTTGAGAGTCCTAGGGTTGGGGCTAGACCAGGCAGGATTTCTGGAGAAGTCATCTCTGCAATCACCTAAGGTCAACGTTGGATGCTCTTGGCTCCTCCCAAGGTAAGATGCCAGCATGAGGAATGTGGTCCTCTGCCCTGGCCTCATAGATTCTCTCTGATTTCCTCCCACGACAGTTTGACTTTGGGGACACCATGGTCCACCAGGCCATCCACACCATTGAGTACTGCCTGGGTTGCATCTCCAACACCGCATCCTACCTGCGGCTCTGGGCCCTCAGCCTTGCTCATGCACGTGAGTATGTTTTGCTCCAATTCAGAGCTGCAGGTTTCTGCTTCTCTGGCAAACTCCCTCAGCTGAGTGAGGTCTTCCCAAGCATGGAAGTCACATAGGGGTTCTGGAATTATTCCAGCTCCTGAGACCAGAAGAAAGAGTATAGAGCAGAATCAGCACTTATGCCAGGTCAACCATCCATGATGATACCACCAAAACTGAAGGAATTCAGGATGCAAGAAACCCTCCAGGTGAAGGATAGCAGAGCAAAATAATGGTCTATAGCTACCTCTTGCCAAACTGAACTAGGCTTTGTGTCTTTCCACCCCCCCAGAGCTGTCTGAAGTGCTTTGGACCATGGTGATCCACATTGGCTTGAGTGTGAAGAGCTTGGCAGGAAGCTTGGCCCTGTTCTTCATCTTCGCCGCCTTTGCCACCCTGACTGTGGCCATCCTGCTGATCATGGAGGGCCTCTCGGCCTTCCTCCACGCACTGCGGTTGCACTGGTGAGGCCAGCCAGGGTGGGGTGTGCAGGGGTGGGCGGGTCCTTGGCTGAAGGGAGTGAACAGCTCTCCTACATGGAACCCATGGGAAGAGCTGACCCTTCACTGGCTCTTGGCAGCACCCCAGAACTTACCTTGGCATTGAGCCTTGGAAAAAGGCCACAGTGAATCCCAGCTCATCTTTTTCTGGGTTCCAGGAAGAGTTCCCTGTGAGTGTTGTTAGGCTCTCACTCTCTGCCATTATTATTATTCTCTGGCGCCTACAGGTCTAATGTGTATGAAGTTTTTTGTTTTTGTTTTTTATTTTGTTCTGATTTATAACTTCTGTTCTCAGAGCAGTACACGCAGTACAGAAGTAGACAGTCCAGGAATGAGCTAGAGTAACTGCCTCCCAACTTGTCCCTATACTAGTGCGCTTTGATTTGGTTAGGACCCTGGCAGCTCTACTGTGGGGTAGGAGCTCCTGGTCCCCTCGTGTAGCTGGTCCCTCAGAAGGGCAGGCTGAGGGGGGGGTTGTTGGTCTTCTTCACTGTGTGACTCTTAGTGGCTCTGAGAGAAAGCTCAGGAATAGGAAAGCCCAGGTCTTGTCTAAGCTGTGATCTCAAATCAGCTATAGGACACTCAGTTAAGTTTAAATTTCAGGTAAACAACATTTCTTTGTATGAGTATTTCCCAAATGTGCACAGAACATACTGATACTAAAAGACAGGCGGTATATATATATATATATTTTTTTTTTTGGGGGGGGGGGAGGTCCAGTCGTAGGCCTGAACTCTGGGCCTGGGCGCTGTCCCTCAGCTCTTCAGCTCAAGGCTAGCGCTCTACCACTTGAGCCACAGCGCCACTTCCGGCATTTTTCTTTTTTGCTAAGGAATCGAACTCAGGGCCTCAAGCATGCAAGGCAAGCGCTCTACCACTGAGCCACCTTCCCAGCCTCCAGGCGGTATATATTTTATCTGGCAAACTCTCCCTCTTGGGGGTCTACATTTTCTCCTTTATGTTATGCTTCTCTCTCCTTAGGAGGCCCGAAACCCAGACTCTACAAGCTCTGGAACATGTTTCTGTAGAAATACCTCCCTCCCACCACACACACTGTTTTACAGATGAAGGGGTCACAAACGTAATGACCCTAATCAGAAGCCCCAGTTGAGGTGGCCTATGGTGGTGGTGGTGACTATTTCTTGTTAGTTCTCTATCATCTTAACCCTGTGAAGTTCCTTCCCGCTCCCCATCCCATTTTTCTCCTGGCCTCTGACAGATTCTCCTAGTGCCTGTGCTAAATGATGATGGAAAAAGGAGAAGGGTGAGGCTTCCCTCACCCTCATAGCTTCTGCTGTGCTTCTAGAGGTTGCCTTCTCTGGCCTGGCCCTCTGCTCCGGGCCTCCTCATCTAGTGCGATTGTTTACTGTGGAGCCTGGGTGGCTGGGTGTGTGTGTGTTTTATACTCCTGGCTCTGCACCCTGTTCTCAGCTTATCAGTGGGCTCTCCCCAGCACACTTCCTCAGCCACTCTGGGTAAGGGAATGTCTGAGTAACCAGCCCGTAATGACTCACTTTTTCTTGCCCTCTTGGCCTCCTTATTTTCCTGTTCATGTCTCTGTCTCCTGAGCCCTAGACCCAGAACAGTGACCACCCTACCTTGATGCCAGCAAACAATTGAGGGCTGTTTGCTTCCTCTCTGGGCAGAATGAGCACTGCTCAAGACTTGAACAGAGCTGTCAGACAGATGGTTGAAGCAGGCACACTGTGTCCTGGGGAAGAGTGCCCAGGCTTGGGCCTCATCCAGAGTGAACTGAGACCCTTTTAGATACCAAGTTTTTTTTTTTTTTTTTTTTTTTTTTTGTCGTCGTGGGGCTTGAACTCTGGGCCTGGGCGCTGTCCCTCAGCTCTTCAGCTCAAGGCGAGCGTTCTACCACTTGAGCTACAGCGCCACTTCCGGTTTTCTGGTGGTTTACTGGAGATAGGAGTCTCACGGTCTCTCCTGCCCGGGCTGGCTTTGAACCGCGATCCTCAGATCTCAGCCTCCTGAGTAGCTAGGATTACAGGCGTGAGCCACCAGCACCTGGCTCAAGATGATGCCAAGTTTTATTACCAGAAAAGTTACTTCTTCAGATTCACCTATGGCCTTCAGGGGAAGATGTCTCTCCCTGTCTTCCTAAAGGAGTATTGAGTGACAAGCACAGGCTTCTTAGTAAGGCTGCCCTAGGTTCAAACCCCAGTCCTGCCATACCAGGCAGGTGACTGTGAACAGACAGAACAGTACCTCTCTGAATCTGCCTTTGTCTCCTATGGAAAGAGGACAGTGACCATGTGACAAGGTTGTTGTGAGTAAATAGGTAATGGTGCCCACACCAAGTATCCTTCACATCTTACTCAAGTGTGCTGGAAAGCAGGATTCCTAGGAGAGGACCTGGTTAGGGTATACCAGAAAGAAATTGCTTTTAGCTGCTTAGAAAAAGAAGAGACCCCCAAAAGAAGCACAGAATACATCTGAATGCTCCTTAGATGTAGTTTTCAAGGATCAGACCTGCTGTACATGTTGCACTTTTATTCATTTACCTGTCTTGTAGTAGAAGTACTGGACAAAAGTGGAAAAATCGCTGGAAACTTCCTTGATGCAGCTTTCAGAATTCTGTCTTTGGAGGGTTGGTGACTTGTGATACACTTGGGGAGTCTCCACCACTAAAAGTGAATGCAATTGGTGGTGATTTTGCTCCCTCTTCTGGCCAAACACAGATGTGTGCTAAAGGTTCTTCCCCATTGTCTAGGGCTGCAGAGAAGTTCAGAGCTGTGTTCTCTGATGAGGGATGAGGACAGCTAGTCCTGTGCAAAGTGACCCAGGGGCTTCACTGCTGGTTTTCCTATCGGCCAACATAGACAACTTTATACATTAGATCCAGAGAAGCAAAACTGCCTTCCCTCAGTCACCCCACCAAAAAGTGGAGTCCCTAGATCTCATTCCTCCTTTACCCTGTCAAGAAATAAACTTTCCTGTGACAGGAATGAGCTCTTTTTTTTTTTTTGGTGCCAGTCCTAGGGCTTGAACTCAGGGCCTAGGCACTGTCCCTGGGCTGCTTTTGCTCAAGGCCAGTGCTCTACCACTTGAGCCACAGCACCACTTCCAGCCTTTTCTGTTTATATGGTACTGAGGAGTTGATCCCAGGACTTCATGCATGCTAGGCAGCACTCTACCACTAAGCCACATTCCCAGCCCTGGGGTTGAGCTCTTTTGGGATCCCCTTTAGTCCCTCTTGGTCACTGGATGTTCTTTGCCAAATGGCTGCTCTGGAAGGGGTGATGGAGAACCCCATCTGGCTTCTTGAGGCTCTTCTCACAAGTTAGAAACTGGGAGTATGTTTTAGTAATTGGGCAGCACAAGTCCTGGAAGGTCCCTAAGTCGAGTCAGGTGGTAGTCTGTATAAGGAGAGCTTTCTCTTCAGGGACTCCATGTCCCCTTTGCTAGGAAGCATGCATTTCCCTGCCTCCATGTAAGGCGGTAGAGAGACTGATGGAAACTGCTTTCCAGATCTGAGCTAGGAGCTGAACTGAGGGCCACTAGGGAAAGGGGAAATCAGGTTGACCCCTGATAGATCCAAGCTGTTGAGCTGGCGGTAGAGCTCAATGGTAGAGTACCTCACTAATGTGTGTGAAAGCCTGGGTTCCATCCTCAGCATGACAGAGGGGTGGTGGCTAACCTAAAAAAATCTCCAACCTTGAGCAGTAGCTGGTGGGAAGGGCTGCGCGGAATTGAAGCAGAGAGAGCCCATCTGTCCCTCTCAGGCATGTTTCTTCCTTTCCTCCAGGGAGGAGTCAAGCAAATGGGTACCAAAAAGGGTGACTCCAGAGCCATGTGGAAGCCAAGCTTGTGCTCCCCTGGCCCCATTGGGAAATGAGAATTATGTGTGATTAGCTGACGAGGTTGCCTCACTAGACTGGGACAGCACACCCCACCGAGGCTGCCATCTGCCCCAGGCCATGAGCTGGGACTCAGGTGACATACCTGCTCTCTGAAATGCATGGTGAAAGAGGGGATGGGAGTTTATTTTTCAGTCATTCTCATGTGAACATTCAGATGGAAGCAGGACCCTACCCCACTCCCCAACACCTCCTCCAAAAGGGGCCTCAGTAGTTGGGTCAGGCAGAAGGACTCTTTAGACATGTGGGATCTGGGGTAAATTCGGATGCTGGTTTGGAACTGCTCTTGCAGCAACCCTGCAAAAGCCTCATTGACCTTCCCAGCTCCATTGAACTCCCCCTTAGGACCTGTTTTCCCTGGGAAAGAGGACCCCAGCCGAAGCAGAGGGTGACTGATAAAGCTATCAGGGCTCTTGGAGCCTTAAAACTTCTTAAAACCATTGCTCTGCACCCACAAGTTACCTGTCCCCCAGAACCCAGTGCATCCTCCATCCCTACCTGTTCTTATATGTCATGAGAGTCACAGCATGCCAAGTGGAAACTATGCCTCAGAGCAGCTCTCCTTGGCTTTTGTCTCCTCTGAATCATGCCTGCTTCTGCCCATATTTGGTGGCTCTTTGGCTGCTGGGCAGCCCTCCAGGGTGCGTGCTGGAGGAAGTCCTGCTCCGAGCTTCTTCCTGCCCCTCTGAGTTTGAAAGGCCCCAGAGGAGACCAGCAGGAATGGATGCCCAAAGCCTGGGAAGGGACTAGAGGCCCTGTTTTTCCTTCCAGTCCCCAGAGAAGAATTCTTTCTCAGATGTTTTTGTACTTGGAGAATATTTTTGCCATTGCTTTGAGAAGGCTTCCCCTCCTAACTTCCCCTCTTTCCTGGGAATTTCCTCTCCTAAGCTGAACGACTTCACATTCACTTGTAGTTCCCTTTAAGAACAGTTGTGTTGGCTGGAAGGTGGCTCAGTGGTAGGGTGCTTGCCTTGCATGCATGAGGCCCTGGGTTCAATTCCCCAGAGTTCAGCCCCCATGGCCAAAAAAAAAAAAAAAAAAAAAAAAAAAAAAATATATATATATATATATATATATATATATATATATATATATATATATATATATATATATATATATATATATATATATATATTGTGTTTGCCCCCTGGAGGGGCTTCCTTTAGAGGTGGGCTGTTTGAACCTCTGTTAGGAGGACTGTTGGGAAAAGGGTTCTCTAGTACCTTCATTGTCAGAAACCTAATGCTTTTTGCACATGCATCTAGAAGACTTTTACATAAGTATACCCTCTGTCTAGCAGGGTAAAGAAAGAACAAGCTTATCAGTTTCGTTGAACTTTTATTGGGGGCTATTCAGGCTTTAAAAGCTGGTCCTCTACTCAGGAGTCTGAGACCTGAGGATTGCAGTTTGAAGCCAGCCCACGCAGGAAAGTCTGTGAGACTCTTTTTTTCTTTTCTTTTCTTTTTTTTTGGTTGTGGGGCTTGAACTCTGGGCTTGGGTGCTGTCCCTGAGTTCTTCAGCTCAAGGCTAGTGCTCTACCACTTGAGTAACATCACCACTCCAGTTTATTGGAGCTAAGAGTCTCACAGACTTTCCTGTCCAGGCTGGCTTTGAATGGCGATCCTCAGATCTCAGCCTCCTGAGTAGCTAGGATTACAGATATGAGCCACTGGCACCCTGCTAGTGAGATTATTATCTCCAATTAAGCACAAAAAAAGCCAGAAGTGAAACCATGGTTCAAGTGGTAGAATGCTAGCAATGAGCAAAATGAAGCTCAGGGACAGTTGTCCAGCCCTTGAGTTCAGCTCAAGCCTCCCCTGTCTACTTATTCCCACCCCCCCAAAAAAAAAAAAAAAAAACTACTTCTGGCCCTACTGTTAAGAGTGTTGCTCATTCATGAAAGGGTCTTGGAAAAAAGTGGATATGGGACATTTTTCTATTCCAAATGAAATCCCAAAAAGCGTCAAGAAGTTTTTATGAGCTAAGTATGGAGGCATCCCTCTAGTCTCAGCTATTCTGGAGGCTATGACTTGAGCCAAAGAGTTCAAGGCCAGCCTGGGAAACATAGCATGACCGTGTCTTCAAAAGAAAAAAAAAATCCATGGAATGACCACTTTTCTCTAACTTCTTTCCAGGGTCGAGTTCCAGAATAAATTCTACAGTGGGACCGGTTTCAAGTTCCTGCCCTTCTCCTTCGAGCACATTCGGGAAGGGAAGTTTGATGAGTGAGCCCCCGGGAGGGGCATCTGCCCCAGGTACCCTCTCTCCACCGTGACTAGCTGTGTTCCCTTTTGCCTGTTGTGATCCCTGGGCACCAGGGCCCTGTGTCACCCTTACTATCCCTGCCCCAGCTGTGAGTCATTTAGCTAGAGCTGGCCTTTCCTGGGCCTCTCACCACCCCCAGATTTGTATGTCGTGTACAGATTTCCTAGAGAGAAGCTGGTTCTGGCTGTCATGACCACTGGGCATCAGCCTTGTCCTCCTAGCTTCCATCCAGCCACAGCTCTTCGCCCTCCGGTGGCCAGCCAGTCTGGGTCCACTTGGGTGTGCAGAGCCCTCTAGGCTGCTGGATGAAGGAAGTAACCATGTGTTCATATTGACCCACCCCTGCTCCTGCTATAGGAGTTACTGTAAGCCAGTGGAGCAGAGCATGGCAAGTTCTCTGCTAGAAGACAATGCTCTTTACCAGGTCCCAATCAGGTTAGCAAGGGTGGTCCAGGAAGATGGTGTTTTTGTGCTGTTCCCCAGACATGCCCCACTCCCATGCGTGTTAATCAGGAATTGAGCTGGCCCCATCAGGACCAGCATGAGTTGGCCTCTCCCTTAGGATCCTCGGATTCCCCAAACCAACTTCCTAACCATCCCTACATACCCCCCTCCTCCTCTTCCTCTCCTCTCCCACCTCTCCTTATTCAGCACAGTGTAGCCCAGCTGGGAGCACACAGGACAGAGGTCCTAGATAGCTTGCCAGCATATAACTTCCCTTCCTTGGATGCTGCCCAGAGGGCACCAGGGCCCTGCCCAGCAGGGCAGAGGGTTCAGATTGACTTTCCTGGTGGAGCCCCTGAGGCGTTCCCCATCTCTGATCAGGAATTTTGAGTGCAGGGTTGGAGTCATCAAGGCTGGTTCTGCTGGCAGGCCTGCCTTAGTCTGCCCACCAGTCCCCCTTCCCACTCCCACATTGAGTCCTGCTCTCCCAAATGGCGTCTGGGCAGGGAAGATCAGCGTTACATACAGTTTGGTTACTGAAGGTGTCTAGCAGGACCGCCAGTGCCTATGCGGTGAGCCCTGCTGCACAGCCCTGCCAAGGGACCACGCCAGCACCCCACATCCCAGTCTGTGGCTGTGGATCTTAATCATGTGCTGCTGCAGCGGCACTGACTGCTCCAGCTAAATCATCTGCACTTCCTCCCCTGGAAAGGACTCCACCGGCCCGTAATCTCCTCCCACCCAGCTGCTGTTCCTGAGTGAGCTACTGAGCTGCCCAGTACTCTGCCAGGCTGAGATAAGGCACTGGCCCAGCTTCACCAGGCACTGGCTCACTGGGAGCTAACCCAGACCTTGTACAGAGTCCTCTCCCCTCTGGTGCCTGGTTTGCGTGGTGCCCTTTGCTCTGTTTACAGTGTGCTTTTCAGTGGAGTTCTTTGTCAGGGTCTTGCCCAGACCTTTTGTTAATACCTTCCCATGCTGAATAAAGTGTGCTTGACTCCTCCCGAGAGGCCGCCGCCTGTCTCTGTGCCCACAACCCCTGTTGCTCAGTCCTCCGGAGCCCGTCCGTGCCCCACCCCCTCTACCTCCCGCCAGGGCCAGTGCTGCCGCTTTTCTTTCTGATCAGAGGCCACAGCTGCCATGGCCCTGGCTGGGCAGTGACTTTGTGAAATTCTCGCCTTATCTCAAGTTTCCCAGGCGTCTTCCCACTCCCTGGAGCCAAGGCAGCTTAGCACACACTTCATCTCTTCCCTCCCCACACAGCGCAACAACCTAGGAGAGGGGATCTGGGCATCTGCCCTTCCTCCTTTCCCTCTTTCCCATGCATGCTCTCCAGGGCTGGTTGGCCTGGCTATTTTAATCCCTGAAGCTCTTGGCCTGGGTGTAAATGGAGGCTCAGCATGGGTTCTGAGGATAACTGGGGAAGGAGCTGCTGAGGTAGACAGGCCATAGGTCAAAGCCACTGACTGGGCAGAGAGGGCCACCTCCCTCTCCTAGCCGCCCTGGGAGGCCACATTCTTTCTGGGTGCGTGGGTAGGGAGGGGGCTGCAGAGCAGAGGCTGCCCAGGAATGTGAGCAGCAGCTCCCAGCGGCCACCCTTGGAGAGGTGGAAATGGCCCTGTTTGTTCAGTGTTCCTTCCCAGCCTAAGCCCCGCTTCCCAACAATTGTACCTGCTGCTGAAGCAGGCCCTGGGGTGCTCCCCTGTGGCCCCTGACTCCCCAAATGAAAGGACTACAGGAAATCCTAGTCAGGCTTTTTTAGCCTACTAAAAGAGGGGCTGGGGCGCTAACCCAAATAGATACTTAGGCCAGGCAGTAGTGGCTCATCCTAGAAGCTAAGATCTGAGAATAATGGTTCAAACTCCATGAGACTCTTACCTCCAGTTAACCATCAGAAAACTAGAAGTGGCACTGATGCTCAAAGAGATAGAGTGCTAGCCTAGAGCACAAAAACTCAGGGACCGCACCCTGAGTTTGAGCCCAGTGACCGACCAAAGAAAAAAGAGCCAAGCGCTGATGGCACACGCCTATAATCGTAGTTACTCAGGAGGCTGAGATCTGAGGATCGTGGTTCAAAGCTAGCCTGGGCAGGAAAGTCTGTGAGACTCATCTCCAATAAACCATTAGAAAACCGGAAATGGTGCTGTGGCTCAAGTGGCAGAGCGCTAGCCGTGAGCTGAAGAGCCAAGGGACAGTGTTCAGGCCCAGAGTTCAAGCTCCATGACTGACAAAAAGAGGGAGGGAGAGAGAGGGAGAAGGAGACAGGGAGAGAGGAGAGGAGAGACTTAGAATCAGTGAAACAGAATTGAGATTCCAAGAATAAACCCTAACATTATGGATTTTTTGACAAAAGAGCCAACATAATTCAGAAATGAAAGAATGAATGGTTTTTATCAAGTAGTGCTAACAAGACTATATCCAGCTAGGCCACTGGTGGCTCATACTTGTGGTCCTAGCTGCTCAGGAAGCTGAGATCTGATGATCTAGGTTCAAAGCCAGCCCTGGCAGAATACTCCCTGTAAGACTCTTATCTCCTATTAGCCACTTAAAAATGGGAAGTGGATGCCAGGTGTCAGTGGCTCACGCCTGTAATCCTAACTACTCAGGAGGCTGAGATCTGAGGATTGAGGTTCAAAGCCAGCCTGGGCAGGAAACTCTGTGAGACTCTTATCTCCAATTAACCACCAGAAAACCAGAAGTGGCGCTGTGGCTCAAGTGGTAGAGTGCTCGAGTTGAGCTGAAGAGCTGAGGGACAGTGCCCAGGCCCAGAGTTCAAGCCCCATGACTGACCAAAAAAAAAGGAGGAGGGAAGTAGAGCTGTGGCTCAAGACGGTAGAGCACTACCCCTGAGCAAAAAAGCTCAGATACAGTGCTCAGGCCCTGAGTTCAGGCTCCACAACTGCAAAAATAAAAGACTAGATACCCACATATAAAAAGACACATTTGGAGTGCTACCCACACCATTATACAAAAATGAACTCAAGCACGGTGATGCACATCAGTAATCCCAGCACTCTGCATGCTGAGGCAGAGTGCTTGAGAGTTTGAGGCCAGCTTGAGCTACATAGAACCTAGCCTGGTTCTGTGAAGCTGGTGCCAGTGGCTTATTCCTGTAATCCTAACTACTCAGGAGACTGAGATCTGAGAATTGAGGTTTGAAGCCAGTCTGGGCAAGAAAAATTCCGTGAGACTCATCTCCAGTCAACCAATAAAAAGCTAGAAGTAGAACTATGGCTCAAGGGGTAAAGTGCTAGTCTTTAGCAAAAAAAAAAAAAAAAAAAGGGCTCAGGGACAGTGCCCAGGAGCAGCTGAGTTCAAGTTCCAGGACTGGCACTAAAAGAAAATGAAAAACTACCCCAAAGTGGATCAAAGACCTAAATGAAAGAGTTAGACTATAACTGACGGGGATCTTATAGGAGTACATCCTGATGTTCTTGAGGCAATGATTTTAGATATCTCCCACAAAGCACGAAAAACAAGACAAAAATGTAGATAAGTTAGACTGGAAAAATCAAAGACTTCTGTGCTTCAAAGATCAAAACCAGCAGGATGCTGGTGGCTCACATCTGTAACCCTAGCTACTCAGGAAGCTAAGATCTGAGGATCACAGTTCAGAGCCAGCCTGAGAAGGAAACTCAAAAGACTCAGCTTTTAACCAGCAAAATGATGTACTAGAGACTGGCTCAAGAGATAGACTGCCAGCCATGAACATAAAAGCTCAATAGCTGGGTGCCAGTAGCTCATGTCTGTAATCCTAGCTGCTTAGGAGGCTGAGATCTGAGGATTGTGTTTCAAAGCAAGCCAAGGAAAGAATGTCCATGAGACTCTTATCGCCCATTAACCACCAGAAAACTGGAAGTGACGCTTTGGCTCAAGTGGTAGAGCACTAGTCTTGAGCTGAAGAGCTCAGGAACAGTGCCTAGGCCCAGAATTCAAGACCCACAGCGGACCAAAAAGAAAAAGGCTGAATGAAGCTGGGGTGCCAGTAATCCTGGTCACGCCTGTAATCCTAACTGCTCAGGAGGTTGAGATCTGAGGATCATGGTTCGAAGCCAGCTCAGGCAAGAAAGTCTGTGAGACTTTTTTTTTTTTTTTTGCTGGTTGTGGGGCCTGAACTCTGGGCCTGGGCGCTGTACCTCAGCTCTTCAGCTCACGGCTAGCGCTCTACCACTTGAGCTACAGTGCCACTTCCAGCTTTTTCTGCTTATGTGGTGCTGAGGAATCGAACCCAGGGCCTCATGCATGCAAGGCAAGCACTCTACCACTGAGCCACCTTCCCAGCCCCTGTAAGACTCTTATCTCCAATAAACTACTCAGAAAAAGCCAAAAGTGACACTTTAGCTCAAATGGTAGAAAGCTAGCTGTGAACAAAAGAAGCTCAGGGAGGGGCTGGGAAGGTGGCTCAGTGGTAGAGCATTTGCCTTGCATGCATGAGGCCCTGGGTTCGATTCCTCAGCACCACATAAGCAAAAAGAAAAAAGTCCTCATGACTGACCCAAAAAAAAAACAAAAAAGAATGTAAGGTCACATCAAGGTAGAAACCAAGAATGTTTCTTTTTTTTTTTTTTGCGGGTCATGGGCCTGAACTCTGGGCCTGGGCGCTGTCCCTCAGCTCTTCAGCTCAAGGCTAGCGCTCTACCACTTGAGCCACAGTGCCACTTCTGGCTTTTTCTGTTTATGTTTATCAAACCCAGGGCCTCATGCATGCAAGGCAAGCACTCTACCACTGAGCCACCTTCCCAGCCCCAAACCAAGAATGTTTCTTAGTACACAACTTACACATGGGCCGGCACATCTGATAACAGGTGCTCTAACATGGGAATTTATGGTGAACAAAGCAAGTTGGGGCTGGGAATGTAGCTTAGTGATAGAATTCCTGCCTAGCATGCATGAAGCCCTGGGTTCGATTTCTCAGAACCACATAAACAGAAGAAACCAGAAGTGGCACTGTGGCTCAAGTGGTAACGTGCTAGCCTTGAGCAGAAGGAGCTCAGGGACAGTGCCCAGGCCGGAGTTCAAACAACAACAAAAAAAGCAAGTTGGGGTTTGGGTCAAATTCACCTTAGGATAAATGCTCTTTTGATCTGACACCTGGCATATTTTGTCATTCTTGCTGTTAAACATTGTTTTACTAGTTGAGCCAGAGATTGTGAAGTTGGCATGCTCAGTAAACTTGAGTCATTGATGTCTGGAATCTCTTCAAAGAAAGGAGAAATTCTATCACACGCTCCCTTCAAGACAGGTGTCCAAAACAGTTTGTGCCCAGAGAAATCATTGTCCCTGGTGTTTGTCAGGATTAATGCCTTTCTTTAAGATATCCTTGCTCAGTTCCCAGAGCACACAAATTACTTCTGGACAATCAGGCAAGGTCAAAACAGAGAGCTGCTCTTTTTCCTTTTTTCTTTTCTCTTTGACACATGCTACAGTTATGAGGTACTATAGGCTTCAAGCAAAGATATTACTTGTGTTTCTAACAAAGCTACCCAAGAGTACTGTTTGTGTCTCTGAATTCCTGGCTGGAGGCTCTTATGCCTTGTTTTCTCTGATTTACCCTCCCTCAAGAGAAAATACTTGCACATCCTATCTGATAAGGGACTTAAATCTAGGATCTGAAAACAACTCTTCTCTAAACAACTCTAAAATAAAGGGGTTTTGTTGTTGTTGTTGTTGTTGTTTTGGTCAGTCATGGGGCTTGAACTCTGGGCTTGGGCGCTATCCCTCAGCTCTTCAGCTCAAGGCTAGCACTCTACCACGTGAGCCACATCGCCACTTCCGGTTTTCTAGTGGTTTATTGGAGATAAGAGTCTCACGGACTTTCCTGCCTGGGCTGGCTTTGAACCACAATCCTCAGATCTCAACCTCCTGAGTAGCTAGGATTACAGGTGTGAACCACCAGCGCCCAGCTTAAAGAAAAAAAAATTTTTTTTTTTGGTCGGCCGTGGGGCTTGAACTCTGGGCTTGGGCACTGTCCCTCAGCTCTTCAGTTCAAGGCCAGCACTCTACCACT